AACACGATTCATAAATTTTTTCCATCCAAAATATTCTGTTGAATTCTCGATTTCAATGATTCGAATGACGGAGAAAGAACATAAAAAAAAAGAATAATGAACGTTCGAAAATAAATCCGATTGTATCGATTGTATCGGTAGTTTTTCATGTTGTTGACGTGAAGGAAGAAATAAATGATGAAATAATTGATTAATAAATTTTATTTCATTTCGTTTCAATTACTATTTTCCGGCTAAAAATAATTTCCGAATTACTTTTTTTTTCTCTTCGATCAATCGATAAACAAAGTCTCATTTGAACCAATTTGATTCCAATTTTTATTCCATTTATGGTTGTTGGTGATTTTTTTTTTCTTTCGATTCACTATATTTTTCATTATACACATTTGATCGAGTTTTTTTTTGTTTATGTTTTGTTTTATTTAGTTTCGAGGTTGTGTCCACAATTCAATAAATCAATTGATACGAATGGTGGCTGATCGGAAAATACATTGACAATGCGTATCATGAATCTTGATCATCAAATTCAGCAATAGTCGTAAGTTTCTTTAAATCAATTTTGAATTGGTAATTTTGAAATTGATTTGAAGAAATTATTAACTGTCACATAAATTGTTGTTAGTCAAACAAAAAAAAACAAAAACAAAAACAAAAACAAAAGTTTCTGTTTCATTTATTCCAAATTTAGAAATGCCAAACTTTCAAAACGAATTTATTAAGTCTTTTTGTCGTTGTAGAAAAATTATTACATCACCAATTATAACAGGATGAAAATGAAATGTCAACCTTGTTAAACGGTGATAATACGGCATTTGAAAAGGATTTTTATTTATTTATTAATTTCTAACTTTTTTCTGCTTGCTCTATTCAAAATTGCATTATAATTGACAGAATTTAATGATTTTCTCAGTTTTTTTTCGTTCAAGCAACACGAATGCCGTTACTCGTAAAATTTGTCGTAAACAGGAAAAAAATGGAGCCTAATGATTCGAATAAAAATGAAGAAAAAACCATAAAGGTTCGATAATTCATCTGAATAAATGACACAAAACAAAGCAGATATTTGTCATAAATGAACAATATTGTTTTTATTTCAATAGTTAAAATAATGAATGAAAGAAAGAAAGAATGAAAAAAATTCTGCTTACTACTACGAAATGGGTCATACAGGAATTTCATTGCGGAAGTTTTTTTACGTTTTATTTTTTGCAAAAAAAAAACAAAAAAATCAAATTCTTCTTAATATTTAATGAATCGGCATTAATTATCATTCTCCATCGTCATCATCATCATTCATTCATGATGTAATTTATCATTTTTGTTTTTTTTTTGCTTCCGTTGTCCAATTAGTTAGATAGCAACAACAATAAATTCTCCAAAGAAAAAAAAATCATCCAAGATCATTAATGTCAACATCATCATCAGGATCAATGTGATCATTATCAATCGATTATTGAAAAAAAAATTGATAAACGATGTTTGTGTGGGTATGTTTTTTTCCCTTTCTTATTTTTTTCAAGAAAAATTATTCCAAGAATTAATGTGAGAAAAACAAAAACAAAAAAAAGTTTCAGTTTCCATGGAAAAAATTTTGATTCATAAATTTTTATGCGAATTGCTAGAAAAAAAATTAACGTTTCACCACACGATTATAAATGAAGACATCATCATATATGAAAACAGTTTACATTACATTGATATTGGATATTTTTTTTAAACATTAAATATTCATTGCCTTTTCTTTTTAAGTAGTTCAATCCGTTTATGAAATATCATCATCATCAGCATAATGTTATTAATCGATAAACTTTATGAAAAGTTTTATTTCGAAGTTTTTTGTTGTTTGTTTGTTTCATTGCTATTCTACATTTTAAATGTCAAGGTAACAATAACAAAAACAATCCCGAATTGATGACTAGAGTCTAGAGTTTAATGATGATATCGGAAGAAAAAAAAATCAGATCGAACAACTAAACATTAGTTTGAAAGCAGCAGAAATTATCGAAAACATAGCCATGTTTTGTGATTCATATTGACGTAATGAGATAGGATCAATTAATCATTTCTTATCATTTTGTTTTAAAAAAATATTGAATAATTAAAATCATTCAAGTGTAATGTGATGTAAAAACAAATGTATGAAAATTATTTAATGAGCCATATCCAAAACTTCATTGATTAAATAAATTAATGAAATAAAAGAGAAAATATTGTTAATTTACCACCATTAAATATGTGAAGCAAGAATTTTTGTTTTGTTTCATTCAGTTAAATTTCATGATAATAATATTGATTTCAAAAGAAATCAGAATGAAAATGAAAATAATATCTTTCGGGCTGGACATGACGATGAAAGGAAGGAAAAAGGAAATATTCTAAAAAAGTTGAAATGAACTGAAAGTAATTCCGTAAAAATATTAATAAAAATTTTTGATTTTTGATTCAACCATTTTTTTAATGATGAAAATCTATTTTGAACTTGGCGACAGATAATTCTTAAAGGAAATAATAAAATGTATTAAATCACTATTGTGTTATTTTTTCTTTCCTTTTCTATTTTTCTAAAATAAAAAACTAATCCACTTTTTCCGTTTTTTTCACTCCTACGTAAGCTTGTTATTTTTGTTGTTTTGTGCTTTTTTTTCATCATCTTATCAAGCTTGATTGAATCCTTTTATGTTATCACATAATTGAAATTCTTTGAAATATTTTATTCGAACAATGTAGTATACCCGGAGATCCGCGAATTTTTTGAAGCTCAGTAAACAAACAAACAAACGGAAAAAAACTACGATTTTTTTAGTGAATTTACATCAATGGAAAAAAGAATCAACAAAACTAGTAATAGATTTTTTTTGGTTCAATTATAGCACGAAACAACAGCAAAAAATGACAAATTATTAACATTATCATTTGTTATTGGCCATCAAAAATAGCAAAAAAAAAGAAAAATATTTTAACATTCAACATTTAACGGATCGATGGTTAAGATCTTTGATAAAATTTATTGCTGCTGGTAGACGATTTGGAAATGATAAGTTGAACAGAGGCAAAAAATTGGAACAAAAAAACGAAATTAAGTAAAAAAACGGTAACGAAATACGAAAACGATAACAACAACAACAACAACATTGACAAAACAAAACAAAAATTGATAACCGAACCGAAACCGACGATGATGTTGAATGATGATTGAAAAAATTGGAATTGATTAACCGAAGAAATATAAAATTACTTTCAATGGTTCAATGACGATGAAGATCATCATCATCATCTTCATTGAATATTTGAAACGTTTATCAGTGAATAATTTTTCTTTTTAATTACAATTTTTAAAGATTTCTACTATGATTACTAGAAAGTGAATCTTTTTGCTATGTTTTTTTTCATTCTTTCAATTATCATAATCATCATTATCGATTTCAAATTGTTATATAATGAAATCGATAATAGCAACAACAGCTGCTTTTCATTAAAATAACAATTATAACGTGTAAAATCAAACTATAATGAATTGTTAATTTGAATAATTTGAATATATTTTATTTTATCTCTAAACAAAATAAACTCTTTTTGGGTAAAATGAATGATATTATTTTTACTTTTAACGGGGTAAAAAGAGTTGAGAATTTATTTTTGCTGATTTTGTTTTCGTTTTTTCTTTGTTCGTTTGTTTTTTTTTCGTTAAGATAACAACAACCGTCTTTAAAATCTTTTCTACTTAAATAATGATGATGATGATGATAATAATGGATATTATTAGTTTATTTTTGCTTGAATAATTTGTTTTTGAATCGATTTTTCGTTGTTGATGAAAATTCTTTAAAGTTTTATATTTTTCTCAAAAAAAAGATTGCCATGTTAGACATGAATAAAAAAAAGCAAAAAGAATTTAGAATATTAAATTAGATGTGCCAAAATTGATCTTTTTTTGACTTTTAGACTTGTTATTTGAAATTAATTCATTCAAATTGATTAATAATCATTATTGAATCATCATTTTAATGAAAAAATCATTGTTATGTGAAAAATAGAAATGAAAGAAAAAAAGGTAAAATTCAATTTCACAAAACAAAATGAATTTTTGAAATAGAAAACAACAAGAACCCATTTTTCTCTCTTATTTCGGCTGACAATCAAAAAAAACAACTATTTGATTTTTATCTTTATTAGCAAAGGGAAAAAAGTGAAATTATTATGTTGGAGACGAAACGAAAAAAATACATGATGATAAATTAACAACCAGAACAACTACCAGAAAAAGGGGAGAGATGATCAACAAGTTGGTGATAATAATAATTTGACTGACAGACTGACAAACAATTGGATCATTACCAAAAGGAAAAAAAACAATAATTGATTGACATTTTGTTTCAAAGATTGAAACATAAGTTTCGAAGAAAAAAATTGCTTTCATTGTAGACATAATTTTCTTTTTTTTTTTTGTTGAAACCATGAAAATTATTTTTCGGTGTGTGTGTTTCCATTCTCTAAATATCGATACAATGTAATGGTGATGACAGAGTCCATATATGAATGGTGTGTGTATGTGATTCTTTGGGTGGCGATACAACTAATGATGATCATTTTTGTTCTTATTTTCATTATCTATTTGTTGTACAATGATTGAGTGTCACCATCATCATCCAGATCTTTGTTGGTTATCTTCATTATGACATTTTTTATCTTTATTTTATTTTATTTAGAAAAAAAACGAAAATTGGCATTAACAATGAGAGACAATGTTTGTGTGTCAGTTATTCATTCAATCATTCATTCGATAAATAAAGTTAGTGTCGATGATCATAAAGAGAACAGTTATTTGGGATGAAATAAGATGAAAAAGAAATTCAAATTGATGATCATAATCGACAATTTGAATTTTCCTTTTTCGAAAGTGATTTTTGTCTATAATGTATTTGTCATTTGTAAATGTTCGATGGTATTGTTTTTTTGTAATCGAAAAAAACATTAGATTTTTTTTTGATTTTTTTTTGTTATTAAATATCCATCATAAATTTATGGTTTTGTTTTAAACAATTCATTCGGTTTGACCATTGTTTGGTAGTATTGTTAATTGTTTTTTTTTCTATAGAAAATGTTTTCATTGAAATTCTATTCATCCTCATCATCATTGTCATACACATCTACATTGTTGATAATTATAACAATAATTTTTTGGAGAATTCGTCTATCATCAGCAATATTGTTTGGTGGCGTGAAAATGGTACCAAAATTTCTACCAAGAGTTGTGGCCGGATTCTATAGTCTACATCCGGCATATGAAAGTGATATACCGGCACCGATTGCATCGATATCATCACCATCATCATTATCATCAATTCGGCAGCCACAATTTTCAGCATCAACATATAGTCATCATAAGAATAATTATCAATACATTGGTCAACAACAACAACAAAAGATAAAACATCGTCATAAAGTCAAATATAGAAAACCAAATTATCATAAACAAAATCAATATCGACCATCGAATTATCATATGATACGACTTAATCCTCATATTGTTGATAATTACATGTTGATTGCAAAACAATTGGCCATACATTATGGAACGAAATATCAATATCCGGTTGATATACTCTATGTATGATTCATTGATAATTTTTTTTATAATGAATTTAAAACCGATTTTATTTAATTTGAAATATTTTTCTTTCCAGGATCAAATTATACGAATCATGTTCGATTAAAAAAATTATGTAAGTGCAAAATTATCATGTTTTATACAAAAATCCGAATTCTGACAAATATACGAATAAGATTAGATGTGTAAAAAAAAGAAACGTAATAATAGGCTAGTTAAATGATCGTATCGGCAAAAAAAGAAGAGTATAAACAACAGACCAATGACATTCAAATATATGCGAACATCGGAAATCATTTCGTAGTTAATGAAACTATAGGAAAAATAGTAAATTTAGAATTTAATAGTTAAGTTAACAAAAAGCATACCAATTATAATGATCAATATGATGGCCACAACGATACCAATTAGGATATTAAGCTTCATATTTTTCCACCACATTTTTCGTTGTACACGTCGTGCACCAGAACGAAATTCTGTCGAATATTCTGATAAATTTTGCGAGCGATCCTGTAAATTATCCAAATTTGATCCACGTTCCATTATTTTATCGATATTCATTTGCATTATATTCGATACTTCATCCACATGTTCTTGTAGCCTAAAATAAAATTTATTATATTAAATCAATGTTCTCCATAATCATTTAAGTATTTTACCTTTCAATTTTTTCAGCTTTTTTAACATTTTTTGTTGGTGATTCATCTATATCTTCCATCTATCACACATATATTTAAAACAATTTGAATTCGAAAATTTATCTATTTTTCATTTTCTAATCCCAAAACTTACGTTTACAGGTGTATAGCCTTGATTATTGCTGCTTGGTGCCGAGGAAGACATGATTGTATTTGTATTTTTTTGTTATATCAAAACAAAGAAGACAATTAACCAAAGAAAATCTAGCTGCAATCCAAAGTTTTCAACGTTTGTTGTTGTTTTTGTTTACAAATACCAACAAAATCAATCTTAAATAATAAAAATGGATAACCGTTGTGATCAAAATAATCGAATGATATTGATGATGATAAATAATTTTGGTTTAGTGATAATTGAAATTTTTCTTTTTGAAAAGGAGTTACCAATCCATATCAAATTATATAAACAATAAAAATGCGATATTTCACAACAAAAAATACGCATCTGTCATTTAAAGCGAATCATGCTTGTTATGAAAGGACATCATCGAATTTGTTCTATTTAAAAATTCTCATCAATTTATCTTATCATTCTGATATTTGCATGTGATCATTATTGATCAACTTGGATATCGTTAGTTTTTTCGAATGGATTTTTCAAAAACGAACAAAATGTTTTTAAGAAATTCATTTATCACAATCTTTTTTTGGATAATCATCATTGGTATTATCAAAGAATGTCAAGGACTTTGTTGTCATCGTGTTCGAATATATAATTGTTCAGGTAATGATAATGAATTACAAACATTATGCCCAGATTGTACCGAACCAACACCATGGTGTGGTATAACTAAATGCAATGTATTTGGATGTAATTGTGATGAATGTCGTATGCAAAAACCATACACACGAATTGATAATTTGGCCATTCCCGAAATTGATGATAATAACAATCATTTTTAAATTAATTTTTCAGAAATTGTTTTTATTCAGAAAAAAATTTTTAAATGAAAATTTATCTTAAAAAATTCAAAAATTTTCTTTTCTTTCTACCATTTTAATTGCTATAAGAATTCAATTCTCTACATATAATTATTCAATGATCAATTTGATTTTTGTTCATTTTCAATAATAAAAATCATGAATGAATGGCATTTGATGTGATGATGATAATGACTTTTGTGTTTTTTTTTGGAATTAGTATTTATTTCCTTTCGTCTGTGGTGGATAAATTGATGAAGATGACGATGATGATGATGATGATGGTACATCAATCATTTGATTACGTTTAACAGCCAATCCACGTAATATATCTCGACTTTTGTGTTTTTTACTAAAATCTCTTTTAATCTGACTATACGATGATAATGGTAATGATTGTTCAATTAGCCATGATGGTATAAGCCATCCCGAACGTATCGATGATGGATTCAGGTAATCATCCGAATCTAATGATCATAATTGAAATTATTTCAATTTATATAAAAATATTTTTTTTACCGCATAAACTTACCGAATGAAATTCTGCGTAAAACATCTTGATTATTATTATTGTTGATAATTCGCGGTAATTCTTCACCATTAACACCAGTGAATATGATACCATCATTATCACTAAGACTACCATAAAATGGTGATGCATTAGCCATCAAAGTAAATAAAAATGTTGAACCAATCAAACAGCAAACTATTGTCATAATTGATTGACAATTATTTGTAGCCATGATGTTGATATTTGAATTTAACGAATTCGATTTCGATTGATGTTGATGATGTGATAAATTGCCAGTTGGTTTAAGAGAAAAAAACGATCTAAACTATCAACAAAAAAAGTTGCCCAGTATTTATAGGAATTTTTTTCAACAACGAAAAGATATTCATTCTTATTACCTGCGTCACTTACGAATAAGAAAATGAAGAAAAAGGTAAAAAAGAAAAAAAAAGTTATTTTCAAATGTTATTGAATCGACGTTGATTCATTTATCATGTAATCATTCTTATGTAATTATTATGCGGATATTACATATTTTACCGGAATCTCTATGTGCGTATCTATATTTTTATGATTAATAAAGATAATTTAAGTTTTTATCATGTAAATATTTATATAATCATCATAATTAAATTAATAAATAAAAATGTCTATATTTGGATAAAATATATGTAAGAATGATGTTGTTGAGATTTATAACATAAATATCCAATTTTTTTCATATTTTTGTTTTGGTTAAGTGTGTTGTTTTTTTTTATTTGGATTGAAAGAAAAATGTTAGTAAAATGAAATCATCATGGATACTGGATGATGTTGATGAATTATAATAAAATGCATTAATTTTATTCATCATATATAAGAATTATTCCATAAGTCATAATCAAATTCGAATCGAAATTTTACAATATAAAATAGCCAAAATGCAATTGAAATGGAAAAAAACTTTGTGTATTCATTTAGGATATAAAAAAAACTTCTGAGTAGAAAAAACAAATGAAAATAATTTTCGACCTTATCATAATATTTTACATTGAAAAAATAAATCAATTAAATATGGCTATACCATTTGAAGAATTATAGATATATAAATTTTGAATCGAGATTTAATAGGAGGCTATTCATCATTTAAGGTTATCAGGCACGATAATTGATTTGGCAAACAATGCAGCGATTGCCTGATTTTTATCGCCATTAAATGCATCCAATTCAATTATGACCTGTTCACGTTTGAATCCCATCGATACTAATTCTTGAATATCTGCTTCAGAATGACGTGATCCAGTACTACTATTACTGCCTGATCCTTTTAACCAGAAAAAAGTGATAGGACAATTAGTGAGAAAAAAATTAAGTCTATAATTTAAAAACATACTTGATTGATGACCTGAAGTGGATGGAGTTTGAGCTGATACACCACTCATCGGTGATGATTCTTTCAAAGATTCCTGTATAGCTTTTTGTACATCATCTTGGGCTATATCTTCATTCACATTTAAACGTGCAAATTTTGGTATCTCACTTTCGGAAAGAAACGGTGTTTCTGTTCCGGTTGTACCGATACGTAAAACATTTGCTTTGAGATCGATAGAACATTGATAACGGCGAAGCATATCTAAACCCAATAACATATCCATTGGTTGATGTTCAAGAATAGTAAATGAACATGGTACAAATACGCCGTTTAATTCCAATTGCACAAGATGAATTTTACCTAAAATCCTTTGCGTACCAACACCGCGAGCAATACCAGACCAACGATTATCAATTAAACGTAGAATATTACATCGTTCTGCACAAGCTTTACTCATAATGGTCGATTGTGCACCAGAATCGACAAAAGCTTTGATTGGAAATCCATTCACCTTACAATTAATGTATAACATGGCAACTTCGGCAAAACTTTCAGGTAAATATTCCATAGCTGTTTCCATATTTGAATCAATCTGCTGTCGCCGTATCTCTTCGGCAATCATTCGTTGGGCTTCAGAATCAAACGGATCGGCCAACAGCATTCGAATACGACGTTGATCTTCTTTAGCCCGAGCTTCTTGTTGTATGCGAAGTGTTTTAGCAAATTCTTCGATTCCTCCGTCGAACGCTTCAGCCAAACGCGGATTATTCACACGTAAAGTTGCCACCTGTTCTGGATTTGAACGCAGCGTAGCAAAAATATTTTCAGCTTCACGACGTTCATTCTGAACAAGATGATTGGGCACTTGAATCGATGAAAAATCCATTTGAGGTAATTGTCCAAGAAAATTCGCATTATTCATCGTTTGATTACCACGGCCATCTTTCACGAGTAACATATCACCATCTTGAACACCATAAAATGACAACGTTTTATTCGATTCTTGTAGTGGTTTGCCGTTGAAAAAGATTGACATATTGGTCGCATCAATATTGGTCTCTAATGAACATAATGCTTTGAAATTCTCCAGTTCCATATCACCGGACACATCAAGATGAATGATCAAATCGCTCAACGTAGTGATTGTTAATTTCATTTTCAAATAATAATTTTAGATTTCACAGAATTGAACGATGAATTTTTTATTTAATTTCAATAAAATAGACCAAAGAAAATTAGTAAACAAATATTTTGAATGAATGAGTAGAGTCACAATATCATCTAACAAGATGCATACTGTGCTTTTATCATTGACAAATCATGATCTTATGCCAATGATGATGATGATGATATGAAAATGTCAATGGCAAAATTGAAACGGAATAAATTTCGCGACCAAGTTGAAATTTATAATTTGAAAGTATGAAAATATTTTCTTATAATAAGAAGGCCTTAATGGCGACGAGGATTCTCAAAGATGGTAATGATTTTTGATTTTCTTTTATGGTGTCTTTGTCAAAAGAAAACGTAGTTTTTTTGGCAATGGGGCAATGTTGTTGAACTTGTTGAGGGTGTATATTTGGCCAGTACCTATAGGGGGAGCAGGTATAATTGATGCCAAAATAATAAAAAAAAATATATGGCCGGTTGATTTGTCAATAACTTTCGACGTATGAAATTGAAAAAAATCAGGTTTTTGACAATTTTGATTGAAAAATTTTTCATCCCTTTATTTCATTGATGGATTAAATATATTGCGAATGAATAGAGAAACTTTTCATTTATAAATTAGGCATCTATTTCGTCTTTTATGAATGGGAAAAAGAGTGTGTTTATGATGAATATATGTTATTGTTACAATATTGTGTGTACCGATGGGCTCACAATTTTCCGCGTATAACTGCTATTATTGAATGTTGTTTCGATTTGAGAATTTCAATTTTTTTAAACCCGAAAACATAATTCGGGAATTTAGAACGTTATCATAAAATTGTTTTTAAAGTTTATTTTGTGAGAAATCATTCTGATCGATCGATAGTCGATGAGCCGATAACATATATTAGCTCATCAATGATATCATAATCATCTTGATTTTGGATATTTATTGTGATAACTTGTACAAATTGTGAATGATTAAAGTATCTTTGAAGTCATCATCATTATCATTGCCAGATTGATTTTAAATCAATCATAATTGTACTTGAAAATAAATTACTGGAAAAAATCTGTTTTTGTTGTTATGTCTACGACGAGCAATGTGATCACGACATCAACATTTCCATCATCATCATCAATGACAATGACCAATAAAAATGAAAATGGCAAGTTTCAAATTTGACAGAATCGTCATCATCAAAATTTACATGTAAAAGTGCAAATATTCATCTATATTTTTCACTTGTAGATTATCAAACAAACATGAACGGAACAAATACGTCCAATAACAACAATAATAACAATGGTTATGAATCATCTTCGATTAATAATAATACCAAAAATGACTCAAACAATGATTTAACAAATAATTCGACTACAACTGCTGGTGGTGATTCTGTTGCGTCAACAGCTACCATTTCAGCAACAACTTCCAACAATCAATCATCCAACAACAATGATAATTCATCCAACAATAATCAACAGGATGATGTATGTAGAGATTATCTACGTAATGTTTGTCGCCGTGGTAAATCATGCCGTTATAAACATCCGGATATTAATGATACCGATATGATGAAAAACAAAGAGCCATATGTATTTTGTCATGATTATCAAAATCGTGAATGTCGGCGAGATAATTGCCGATTTTTACATTGCACTAAACAAGAAGAGGAAATATATCGTAGTACGGGGAAATTGCCACCACATATACAAGCTCAATATCCGTCCGATGATCGTAATGTTGCACCTGTTTGTAAAGATTATCTCAACAATACATGTCGTCGTGGTCCACGATGTAAATATCGTCATCCATTACCGGCTAACGATTCTTTTCATCAATATGGTCATCATCATCATCCACAACAACTTCATCATCCATCTTCAGCATCCAATCCTGTAGCACGCGTTGGTAATCAATTTAATGGGCGAGGTGGTAATTATCCTAATTCACATATGGTCGATTATCCTACACATTATAATCGAGCTGGAACAAACAGCGCAACAATGATGCCTTCAAATTATGGCTCATATGATGGTTATGCCGATGCGACACCTCAGAATAAACGAAAACGTTATGATCCACAATCTTCGATGTATCATCTTGAAAATAATGGTCCATATTCGGGAGCTTACCAGGAACCACCGCCTCCTCCACTCCCATCTGGAAATGTACGAAATACTTATGGTGGTACTAATCCAATGCACGATACACCTTATGGTGCCAGTAGTGCTGCAGGTGGCTACGCGAATTCACAGCCACCTCGTTCACAACAACCACCAACGATCGATTCATCAAGATCATATCTGGAGGAAGAAAATGCGGCGCTAAGACGACGTATTGATGACCTAAAGAAACAGGTGCAAGATTTATTGTCCACAAATGAATATTTACTAGAACAAATGAATCAGATACGTGCATCTGGACAGGCTGCCGTAGCAGCAGCATGTGGTGCACCTCATGGAAACACATCAGTTGCATCATTACAACCGCAACCCACGCCTGGTTCAGTACAATCAACCGCATCGATCGGTATGTCAGCACCGATTACTTTACAAGCACCGGCACAGGCAGCCGTTGCAATTGGTCCATTACCACCAGTTTCAATTGTATCATCGATTGCATCGATTTCATTGCCAACCGTATCGGCACCAGTAACATTGGTACCGAATAGTTCGGCAGCCGCCTATACACCATCAATGGCAACCATGCATTCTTCAAATCCGTGGCCTTTAGGTGTCGATCAATTACTGAAGAATGATCTCTAAGCAATGAATTATGAAAACTAATTTCGTATGGCTTTATCACCGTACGGCTCTATCGATCCATTTCCATTCATTTGATTATTCATGATTAACATTCATATACCGCTTTGCAGATCATCATCATCCTCATAATCAAAATATTAATCACCCGAAAATTCATGAAACAACAAAAAAACTTTCATCCATTCATTTATTTTAAAAATAAAATAAAAATAAATACAAGCGGCATAAAAAATATTCTTTCATTACACAATGATTTATTCATGATTTGTATCCATATCATCAATTGTTGCTTATTAATTATAATTATTATTTGAATTTTTTTCTTTTTTTAATTTGAATTATTTAGTAAAGTCTATATCTTTTTCAAATCTCTAGATTATCGCACACTGACACATACACATACAATAAATTTTTCTAATCAATTCAATATTTAATTATTCGGATCACTCGAATATTATGTATGTATGTGCGAATAGTGAACATGAATGAATGAATGAATGAATGGAAAAACCCTTACCCACAAATTATTTAAATAACCTTGTTTGTCACTAACACTTCATAGGGGTTTTAATTTTTTTCCTGATTTTGATTTTGATTATTATCATTGTGCCCAATCATACCGAAACGGATTGACAATTTATTTTATTTTTTCCAAATTAAAAGTCAACATTTTTTGTCGATGATGATGAATAATATTAATAATTATATTGATAATAATAAAAATAAAACAAAAATCTTTTTATTTTCATTATCAATTGCGATTGATTGATTATGCTGATGGATCATGGCGACAAGTTTGTTTTAATTTCAAGTTTTTTTCTTTTCATTTTTTTCGATAAGTTATCCAACAAGTTTGAGGTTGGAAAAACAAAATTTCTACTTAATCATCAACAATCTCAAGGTCCATTGATGATGTTGGTCGTTATTTTCTTCGAAATAAAAACAGTAAAAAAACTTGTTTCTGGTGTTTATAGAAAAAAAAATTGTAAATTGGATGATATTTTTCAATTAAAAAAATCTAACGTGTATGTTTAGTTTTAAACAAATTCTCTTCAGTTCCCATCTTGATCGTTTAACAAGTGGCCATCATCATTATCATTATGAAAAAAATCATCGAATGTGTACCTAATTTTTCCGAAGGTCGAAATCGTCAGGTTCGATTAACTATTGAAATGGATACATAAATTTCATTTTTTGTGATATTAGATTATTGATGCAATCGCTGATGCAATTCGTTCTGTTCCTGGTGTTACTTTATTGGATGTAGATGCTGGTCAATCGACTAACCGTACGGTATATACGTTTGTTGGTGATCCGGATACGGTAATAGATGGAGCATTAGCTGCTGCACATGTAGCATATAAATTAATCGATATGAGTAAACATCATGGTGAACATAAACGATTAGGAGCAATGGATGTTTGTCCATTCATACCAGTCAGTGGTGTGACCATGGATGATTGTGCTGATTGTGCACGACGATGTGCAAAACGATTAGCTTCGGAATTGGATATTCCTGTCTATCTTTATGGATTTGCTTCCAAACAAGATTATCGGTAACATAACGTCTATATCTTTATTGTGTATTTATTTTTGTTCTCTCTTTTCTATTCGATCAAGACGAGAAGTTCCACAAATTCGAAGTGGAGAATATGAAGGCCTTGCTGAAAAGTTAAAAGATCCATCATGGACGCCGGATTATGGTGAACCGGCATTCAGACCACGATGGGGAGCTTCGATTGTTGGTGCTAGAAAATTTTTAATTGCTTACAATGTCAATTTAGTATCGACTAAAGAACAAGCCCATCGTATAGCGTTGATAATTCGTTCGAATCGTATGGATGGTCAAAAAGGAAGATTAGAAGGCGTCCAAGGTATGGGTTGGTATCTGAAAGAACAAAATATTGCTCAGGTTACGGTGAACATATTGGACTATGAAATTACATCCATACATAAGGTTTACGAAGAAGTTTGTAAGGAAAGCTTAAAATTGAAATTGCCCGTGACTGGCAGTGAAATAGTTGGACTTATACCATTGAAAGCTCTTTTGGATGCTGCAGAATATTACATTGAAAAAGAATCATTATTTGTTCTAGAAGAAGATCAAAAAATACATTTGGCTATTAATAGATTAGGTTTGAATTCGATTGGACCATTTGATCCGAAAAAACGTATTATTGAATATCTGATCAAAGAAGATGATCCAGATAAATTGGTAAATCAAACATTTGCCAATTTTTCTTGGATGGTAGCCGATCGTACTAGTGCACCAGGTGGTGGATCAGTTGCAGCTGCAGTAGCATCACTTGGTTGTGGATTATCATCAATGGTCGCCAAGCTATCGTATGGCAAAAAAATGTTTGAACATACAGACGCACAAATGCGTCGATTAATACCAGCGTTGCATAATGCTGTGGCCAAATTTCTATCATTGGTTGATGAAGATACCAATTCATTTAATAAATATTTCGAAGCTAGAGCTTTGCCACAAGATAGTGAAGATAATATCATCAAGTGTGTAAATTATCTAAACAATGATGATTTATAAGTGTAAAAATATTTTTTTTTCTAATAGACGAAAATCGGCAATGGAAGCTGGACTCCGTCATGCAATCGAAATACCAATGACAACAGCAAGAATTATAACAAAATTATGGCCAATCATTGAGGAATTAGTTGAAATATTTCATCTACCCACTAGTAGCGATATAATGGTCAGTGTACATTGCCTAAGAACAGCTGTATATGGATGTGCATATAATATATTCATTAATCTAAAAGAAACGGATCAAAAATCAACACTTCGTGAAGAGGTAATATATTGAGGTCAAATTGAAAACAACCAATCTAATATTAATGGTTTTATCAAACATAGATGGGTAATGAAATTCGTAGCCATATTGATATAGCCGAACAAATGACTGAAAAAATTTTGGCAAGGGTCGAAGAACGCAATCCAATAATGAATAATTGAAAAAAATAAAAATATTTTATTTTTTTTCAAAAATTTTTTTAATTGAACAAGCCAAACTTGACAAATAAAGAGCGAAAGCAAAAGAGTGACAAAAATTATTAGTTGTTTTTTTCAACAAAAAAAGACATGTGACAATTAAGAATCAATACAGCCGTAAAGTTGATATATTATAGTTTTGGATCAATCAATCATGTGTCAAGAATCACAATCGAGATTTATCGAAATAAATTTGCAATCATTTTTTTTTCTTTTTAAGTTTTTCATAAAGATGATTTTCAATAATTTTTTCATTTTCTAATGATGTTCAGTTTTTTTAATTAATCAGAAAGAATAAACGAAGACAAAAAAGCATCAGACTAAACGAAAAAACATTTTTTTCCGATGTATTTGTTTTAATTTTTTTTTTGAATCATTTAGTAGAATTTGCTGTATCCATATTACTTGAAATCGAACTAGCCGAAGTTGTAGAGCCATTTGATGATGAAACTGGTGATGAATTTTGTGATAATCGACCAAACAATAATTCCGATGTAGCAGCAGATGTTGGTGAAGGCGATAAAAAATTTGTTGTCGCATCGACACCAGAAACATTCGTATTAGCGGTAGTCGAATTCGGTGGTGATGAGCTTAGTGGTGCCCATGGTGATTTACCACCAAATAACTCAAATACGGTAGATGATGGTGGATTATTATCAACAAATGCAGCAGGAGGGGAAACAGTGGCGGCTGAAGAAACGACCGGTGTTGTTGAAACGCCAACAGGATCTTGATGCATTGTTGTAGGATGATGATGGTTTGTCGTAGGAGGTTGAACCAATGAATTGAAATCTACATTATCATTCGCATTGAATGTAGGATTTCGAATATAATTACGAAATGGAGTGTCGAATGCGGACCACACTCCGCCAGATTGGGAAGATGTTTGAGTAGAATTATTTGACCCAATCATAGTGTGTGAGTGGCAGTTATTCGTTGCTGATGTTGAAGACGAATTCGCTGACAACCAATTAATTCGATTTGCCGATGAAGATTCGATTGGTGATAAACCACTGCTAAATGTGTTCACAGATGGTTTAACTGATTCGGAAAAGTTGGAAAAAATATTTGTGTTCGATGGAGAAGCTATTGATGAGGGCCAAGTTGATTCGGCTGCTGTAGATGGCCATACAGAATCTTGATGACCATGATTATCGGCAAGATTGGTGAACATTCCAGTGATTCCTGAGCCAACTGCTTTTGATGTTGAATTATTAGATGTAAGCAATGAATCCAAAGTTGGATTGAATTCCGAATTCCATGGTGATGATCTGGTCGTTTGTAATAGAGAATTGACGTTTACTGTAGATGGAGTGTTAACTATCTTTCCACCCACACACAAACCATTTGAAACAGCCGACTGTTGTTGTTCATACACGAGCGATTGTGATTTGGATGTTGGTTCCAAAAGTGAATCCAACTGACCGAGCAAATTTTTTGCCGAATTCGATGACGAATTAAATGGTGATAACAATGACAATGGTGTTTTCTGATTTAATGATTTTTCCAAACAAGAATTAAACATGGCAAAATGATTCGAATCTGTGGGTGGAGATGAAAGTAATTTATTCCGTTGCGTCGATAAAATCGATGATTGCTGCTGCTGTTGAGCGGTGGTAGGTCGTCCAATAACGGGTGAAAAAGTTGTAGTTGAAATGCCAGGACTGGTGATTGGGCTCGATGATGATTGTAGTGGTGCTACGGCTGCTGATGTTGTTTTCATTGGATTTAAAGAGAGACTAGATTGAACATTGGCCAAATTTATGTTATGGCCAGCCGGTGCTGTTGGTGATATTGATGTCGATTGTGATGGCGATATTGTTCTTGGTGTTGCATATGAACCATTTCCAACTGATGCTACTGCCGTTGTCTGCGGAAGTGATTTACTATTTATATGAGTCATATTCGAATCATTCATGTTAAATAATTGTTTTCCATATATTTTTGAGCTATGATTTTTATCATTCAAACTATTACGATATTCTTGATAGTTGATCGATTGTGGAAAACGTGAATGATGATGAGGATATTTTTTCATCTGTGCCATTGAAGATTCATAATTGCTTCCATTGTTAACACCCAATGAAGACGTTCCTCCTTTCGATGAGGTGGATGATGGTGAACAACGTTCCAGAAGATCATTACTCCATTCACCGATTTCCCATTTATCATCTGTGATTGGTGAAGTTGTCTGAAATTTTGAATGTCCACCACCACGACGTTGACCGTTAAATGATGATCGGTTATTATTAGAAACGGCAACTTTTTCATCGATTGCAGCAAATTCTTCAGTTTGTTTGACCAATTGGTTCATTGCCAATTCTGTAATATAAAAGAAAAGAATAATTTTTAGAATATATAAAAAAAATCAATTAGAAAAACAAACCGGTATCAAAGCTTGTGATAGGTGAATCCCAAATATCTTTGCCATTGTTATTTTTGTCATTCACTCCATAGTAACCAAAATAACCGGATTTAGAATTACCTGTAGCATGATTGAATTCTTTAGCTGTACGAAATGCATCAAATTTTGTCTCTTTATTATGACTTGATTTATAAGAAAATGAATAATTCTGTTCAGCATTAGTTTTAAATGGCGATACCGTACGAAATGAATCAAAATGATTTTCATTTTCATTCGAATTCGATTGAAATACGGCCGATGTTTGATTCCATGATAGATTAGATTCGGATACATACACTGATGAATCACTATTAGCCATCAATGCACTAGTAGGTTTTGATTGCTGTTGATTTGAATCATTTTGTGTGAATGGTAATGTTGCCGATCTGGTTTTTGTGGGCATAAAATCCTGATTGATAGTTGCTTCAATTTGTTCAAATTTTGTTGATGTCAATGATTCTTGCGATGATTTTAATGATTCAGAGATAGAATTACATTTAAATGAAGATTTTTCCTTTTTACCATTGTCTAAATTTTTAGCAACATTTTTGATTTTCATGCTTACAGTTGGTGTTGGTTTTTTCGCAAATTGTTCTGTTTGAGTCTTATCCATTGTTTTCGATGTTGGTAATTTGTATGTTGATTTTGATGTAGATGATTCTCGTTTACTTTTCTTTCCTTGACGACTAGCATTGGGTGAATTATTACCAGAGTTATTATTTGATGCGGTGTTTGTTGTTGGTGTAGCCACCATTTCATCCAATGAATCATTTGAATGAGATTTTTTATTATCTGTTTGATTCAGACGTGTAGATAATGAAGACGTCTGCTTTGATATTGATGACGCAAAAAAACTAGATGAATCTGAAGAACGGTTACTATGTTCGGACGATGATGAATCTTGTCTTAAAAAATCCGACTGTGCTAGATGACTCCATGAAGATGAATTTTGATGATGATTAGTAGAAGGTGTTGTTGTTACCGTTGTAATGGACTCGTAATCAAAATCCAAGGATCCGTTGGAATGGTGGTGTTTCGAAGTTGTTTCTGTCTGTTGTTGTTTAGTGGTTGATGGCTCAGATGTTGTAGATTTCGATTGACTTCTTCGATGCTGATGTAGATTACCATTAGGTATCGGCTGTTGTTGTTTTGCACCACGACGATTTCTTACTTTTTGATTCGATAATTGATTATGATTTGATGATGATCCAACTGTAGAATACGGATGATTATGTTTTCCATTAGCTATTGCCATATTTGAAGATCCATTAGCTAAGATTTTATGTCCTGCAGATTCAATTACTGATGATGAATTATTATGGTTGCTCAAATCATTATCACATTTGTAAGCATTACCACCATTGTTTCCATCATCATTACCATCATGTTTTTTCGTTGTACTTAGATCGTTGTTTAAGAATTCATATTTTGCACTGTAATAATTCAATGCAATTCGATGTCCATCAAATATGGCCACAATAGTCGAAAGTATTAGAACGAACAAAGCCATTGTGACAAGAATATAATAAAGATGTGGCTCCCATATTGGCCGTGGTAATGCTTCTAAACATAATTGTAACAAATTTGATGGTACATTGGCTACAAGTAAGAATCGTTGTGCACCCAATGAATCATCATCATCAATCATAATGGTTAATTCATGTGTTATCGTATGCTGAGTAAAATCGGGTGAATACAAAATCTCAATATCAACCGTTTGATTTGGTGACAAAAGTATTGGCTCACAACGGCTAATACGAAAACCGTGACCTTCACAAGGCATGCCATCGATAAGAAAGTTACGGATCTGTAAAGCCATACGACCAATATTGACTGCTTTGAAACGTTCACGCATCACTAACGTATTGTAACTGACTGGTTTATGATTATTACTGCTTGACAACGATGATGATGATAATGATGGAGGAGAGTCTATACCTGATTTAGCCAATATCAGATTACGACATCGTTTTTCCAAGGATCTTTCAGGAAAATCAAACACTAATCGTGAATTTAATGTATTGGGCAATGTTTTTCCAATTTTAAGTAAACCACGGCCACCTTCACCACGTAACATGACAACATCAATTATAGTCAGATTATTTCTCAATATCAATAATGATGTATAATTTTTCTCATCAGGTGGGTTAAATGTTACGGCTAAACGATGTCTTACACCGGCTGGCAGTAGCATTATATACGAATTGGCATTCGGTTCTACACCTAACCATTCGGTGATACGTTGAACTTGTGAATTGGAAGCAATCGTATTGTTATGCAAAGAGAATGCAGATCGATTATGGCCATTACGAATTGCCGATTGTATTGCTTGTAAATCACTTTTCGACCATTGTTGATGAAATATTGAATTTGATGTAAGTTGTAATAGGATTTCTGAATTTGGATAATCAATGACGTTTATTGCTTGTACCAATACTTCACGATCAGCGGTATTTTCAATTAAAAGTTCTTTAGTCACTTTTTGCCCGACACGAATAGATGGAAAACGAATGACCAATTTGTTCGCTAACCGTGGCCAATGTTGATGTGCTTGAATAGGTGCTACAAATGAACCAAAACCATCAATCTGTAGACGAACGTTTACCGTTGGTTTACGATCCAATTCGGTCATTGATAACCACTGATTTCGTAATAATTTATATAGCTCTTTATCGATATATGCAGTATCAGAATAAAGTCCTGAACCCAATAACCATAAATGGCCAACTTCTTTTTCTACGTCCAATGCTGTATAACATAATTTCTGATAACATGCTGCGGATGGATCAAATTGTATCTGTATCTGATTGTCATGGCCAGGTTTGATCAATTGATCAATTAATTTGATTTTGAAACGTTCATCTTTGGGTACGATGAAAGCTCCTTTGATTTTTATTGTACTACTATAATTACTTTTTATGTTTAACATTGATTTTACGATCTTTCCGGGAAATGTTTTTGGCAATATCACTGGTTCAGCCATTAGATTTCCATTTAATACTTTAATTGTTAATGGCACTGTCAATTTTTCATATGCAGTTATTATTGTAATCATTCCATTATGAACGCCTTCATTAGAAAGTTTTTGAACATGTACACGAAATACAGCAAAATGGTTCGGCTCAAGTGATCGAAACTGTGACACGAGAAAAAAACATACATTCAACCATATTGTATAAATATAAAACTAAAATAAATTTTAATCCCGAACGAGATGAAAAAAACAAACCTCGGACGAACGAGTCGATGTCGATGCAGGAGGCGATGGTGATGATTCCATTGGTATTGATGATGATTCGATTCGTTGACTTATGGCGCTTATATTACCTTGACTAGTACCGACTAATTCAATTATCAATCCGGTAATATTACATTGCCAATATATCAAACGTATTGCTATTGGATTATGATTTGCAACCACAAATGTTGATGTTTTTTGCTCATTCAATCCGACCAGGCCCATATCTAATTTACTTTGGTCTGAAGAATTTGGTATAAACTATTTTTTTAAAATAATGACAATGAGAATGACGAAAAAATCTCAATTCAGTGAATGAAACATACCAACTCCAATCTTCCTTGATAAGCATACAAAGGCAAATCAAAATAGCTTAGATTAGTCAATAAACGAAACACAGTTGAAAAATGACTAAGCTGAGGTGATGGTGTGAATTCAATCTGCAATAACGGGAAAGATTTTCCGACCGGTAACGTTATAGGCAATGAATAAGGGGCTTTAGTGGTCAAACGAAAATATGGTTTTGCCTCGTCCGGTAATATTATATCATGTACAATGATTGGATTATCAAAACGATTTTCTACATTCATTACGCGTTGTTCAAGATAGTTTGAGCTTGAATTCATAAAGAAATGTGATTGTGTACCATTGAAATGTAGTTCTCTGTTATGATGGAAATTTTTTTTAAAAAGGATTAATTATAGAAAAAATAAGAAATTACCCTTGTATAACTCGAACAATAAACGGAATCGTCAATTTATATTGATTGTTTTTTGATTTTATCAAAACTTTTCCTAAACATAAACCTATACAGGAGAATTGACTGGGATCAAGTATCAATTTGGCCACATGATAAGGATTGGATGATTGTGGTGGAACTTTGATTGGACCACTGAAATCAGCAATACTTAGACCATCGAAAATGGGTGTTACAACAATACTCTGAACAGAGACGGATTTTTGCGCGGCATTTATAACCTGTATTGGCAATGCTTTCGGTGGATCATGTTTGGCTCTTAGTACACCAAAATCCAATGTATCTAATGGCGAATAGAGACCGGGTGAGTTGCTCACTTCAACTTCGACTGGTAGCATCAATTGTATATCGGGTTGGCTTGTACGAATCCTTATATAAGATGTATGATTTGATACAATACGAGCGACTAAATGCGCCTTCATCACTGGACGTGTTTCATATGGTGGTACATTCCACAACGAACTTGGCGCTTCATATTCATCATCGGGTAATTCTAAATGTAATCCACCACCTGAGGTATACATTTCTGTAAGCTACATAATGACATTTGTTAAATAATTTTATTCATTAAACTCAAATGATTAAAAACAAACATACTTGTAGAGGCGTCGAAAATGGATTATAAATATAGATCAACGAAGCAAATGATGAATTCAATGGAACACGTGCACCGATCAACGGCCTGATACGAAACGGGCTATGTTCACCATATGCTGATACACGATACGGAAATGATCCGGCTGATGAATGTATATAAAGAGTATTATTGACTAAACCTTCTTGACGGGCAAGGAACACCACTTGAAATGAAGTATTTGATCTTGGTGGGAGGATTTTTTCCTCAAAAAATGAACAATGAAAATGTTCAGTGTTGCCTGATATCGAGATCAATTGCAATGTAATTTCATCATCATCATTATGAATATGCACCGTTTTTATGATCGGCATACCAATAGAACTAATTTTATATTGTTAATTAAGAAAAAATATAATCAATTTTTTCTCAATATTAAACAATTTCGATACATACTGATAGCCGAAAGTTAGCGATTCTGGTGAGAATCGAACATATGTAGCTTGATTTTTATTATGATGAAATTGGCCACTACTACTACCACCATCATCTTGATCTTGATTCAGTGTCGATGATGAATGTTCGATATCATCGAATGAAGCAGCTTGATTGGCGGAAGAATGATCTATAAGTAAAAAATATAAATGAAAATAAAATACAATAGATATGGTAATTACCAAAATGAAATTGTTTTGCCCAGGTAACATCGGTGAATTCGTGCATAATGCACAGAAAAGCAAGGACCAGAATTGAAGAAAATTCGATAAAAAATCGAATGCCGGCAATTGAAATCATTTTGGTATCGTGATTTATAATTAATTGACGATTGATCTGCTGCTGATACATTGATTCGTTGAACGAAATGGCTCGTTGAAATGTTCGACGTCGTTGTAGTCAATATTAATTGTTGTTGTTGTTGATGATAATTATTCGAATGCATCAGCATCGATGATTTTCAATTATGAAATAATATATTATAAATCAATGAGTAAATTTATTGATGTTTTTTAGTGGAAATTTTCTTTTTTCAATTAGAGAATCTGATCTGAAAATATAATAATCCAAAATTAGAAAAAGAGAAAAAACAAAATATTGAGGAAATTTTCAAGAATATTTTCCTTTCAATATGGAAAAAAAATTTCAGAGAAAAAACACGTCGACGACTTTTCTTTGATATTTGTATATGTATGAGTGTTTTAATTTGATTTCGATAAGATTTCTGTACGGATAATCATTTTAATAAAGGACATTGGAGAAACAAACGATTGATTTAATATTATGATATAAAATTAACTAAATTTACATTTGTATAATTGTAGGTAGAATTCTTCATACAGATTCTTTAATCGAGTTGAAAAAACTGATCAAAAAAAAACAGAAATTTAACAACATCAACAACATAAAGGAAGTATTCTATCTGTACATCATGTAAAGGTAATTTTGGCTATAATATCCTAAAAGATTTTATCTAATCTTATCGACTCGAATGATATTTTTTATTTGATATTTTTTTAATTTCATTTTTAAAAACTTACATTTATTCATTGTTTTTGAATTTTGAGTTCTATAGATGATGATGAATTTTGAAATTAAAAGATTTTTGAAGGGAGAAAAACGAACAAAAAAGAAATTTCGGTTATCAAATGATTTATTTCATCAAAATATAATTGATGTTTATCACATGTTATCCGTATTATCAATTATGATGTTTCTGTTATTTAATTTTGATTGCTTCTACATTCAAAAAAACCGATTTTAAATTAATGATGATGAAGATGATAATGGTGGGATAGAAAAACAGACAATAGAAAAAGATCGCAACAAAGAAACAATCAACGAATCAAATAGAAACTAGATATCGATGTTCAGATATGATTTGTAGTTTTTAAAAAAAATTAATCTTTTTTATCTCATTGATATTATAATTATTTTAGATTATAAAGATGGAAGATATTGTCGCCGTAGCGACACAATAAATATATGTAACGATTGTTTGATTCTTTTAATCGTAATGGATAAATGAAGGAAAACAATTACGGATTGAATGAATTATCATTGATTATTAACAATAATAGCATTCAATGATGATAGATTTTTGATGTTGTTGTTTATTATGATGAGATCTGTTTAGAAATAAAAATTTAATTAACATCTAATCATTATCTGAAGATATAACACTTACGATTGTAACATCGATGAAATTTTTATTTGCAAAAAAAAAAATTTATAATTGAAAAAAACCCTCGTAGAAAGAAAAAAAGATTTTGTATAAAGAATATTCTCGGTATGTTCATTTCATGTATGGGTTATTTTGGTTTTTGTTATTGCTAATTTCATATTATTTCTTGAAAGTTATTTCCACTTTTTTTTCTCAAACATCATCTCTGATTTCAGAGATTAATAGTGTGTGTGTGTGTTTGCTTTACTCATTGCATCATCAATATGTTTGCGTTCGAAAGAATTATCGTATTCACTATAACTGGATGTAGGAAACAAATATTTTTCTATATTTTTTTTGCATAAGAATATTTCTCATTACTCTTAATGTCGAGTTCTCAACTCAAAAAAAAAATGAAATTCGTTCTTTCTTTTTTACACTGCTTTTTTTCCCGAGTGAGTGACAAGTAAAGTGAATGAATGAACGAATGATTGTCGTCGTTGTTGTTGTTGTCGTATTCTTTGCTATGGTGAGAGAGTGAGAGGAAAAAGAAAGAAAAAAAAACAAACTTCTCACGATGATCGGATGGAAATCAAATAGATATTAATCACTGTCGTTATCATAACGATCATAACCATACACACAAACAAAACAAAGTCAATAACAATGATGACAAATAAATTTTTTAAAATTCTGTTTAATTGTTGGTATGGTTCGATAGAATTTAAAATTATGCAAGAGTATGAAAACCAAAATGAAACCAATCTGTTTTGTTGTTTTTCGGCTATATTTCCAATCCAATCCAATCATAAACAAACATACACACAATAAACAAACTGTGTAAGAATCCTTTTATTTTCGAAATTTTTATTTTGCTTCAAGATACAAAATCGAAAAAACAGAATATCGAAAATCAAACCAAAACAAATCTGTATACAGGTAATTTGTGAAAAAAGAAGCTAAATAATAATAAAAATAAATGAATTACAAACGAGAATGTGACGATGATGATGATGATGACAAGAAGAAGAAGATGATGATGATGAAAAAAACTAAAAAAAAAGCAACACGCTTGTGCCAAAAAAAAACAAGACACAGTATCTTTTTCTCCTTTCTCTCTTTCTACCGTTCTTCGTATATCTATACCGTGTGTGGGATTGTGAAATGGTGTGTTCGAAAAGAGGGGACGACAATAACAAGCCACGAAGCGGCTTTAATTCCAAACACCAAAACAACAACAACAACAACAACTTTTACACATTGTATAAGGCGCATATAGAAGATATAGAGAGAGATGGATAGATGGATGGATACACAAAGTGAATGTATACATAGAAAAAAAGGGGGAATGGAAACAAAAAAATCCAACACACAAACACACAAGTTTATATGTTGAAAGTATTTCAGTTTTTTTTTCTATCTTCAATTCACTTTTCTTACAAACAGGTAAACTAATTTTGTGATTGGATTCGGGATTCTTTGACTAAAATAAAAAATTATCTTGACTATCTATTCATATTTTAAATTTTCTTTATTGTCGAACCTCTGTATCATTTTCTTTTTTTCATCAGTCATATAGTTCCTTAAATCATGGACATCGTATGAATCGGATATAGCTTGACAAGATTTTTTGATAAATTCTGGAAATTACCAAAAATGATGAAATATTCGAAAAAGCTAGATTCGAATTCGAAAGAATTCGTTTACAGAGTGCAAGTGTATCCGTGAATACTCTTTAAGTGTAAACAACAATGGATTTTGTATTCAACAGCAACACCATTATATCCTATCACACATTCGCCTTAAATGGTAGCGGCATTGACAAAAAATCATGTGTTTCTTTCCTTCGATTTGATTGGGGCAAAAAAAACTAAAGGGGTTTGGTTTTTTTCTAAATGTTCTCTTTTTTTCTCTTTTCTTGATTTAATTGACATTGCGCATTATTTCCATTTCTAACTATCTTTTTTTTTCACTTGTTCCAGAAAAATTTTTCTTTGAAACAAAATCATTCCATTTTTCTTCACGCTATTCTTTCATGGTAATTTACTAACAAACAAAAATCGAAAATCGATTATTGAAAATGAATTTTTTTTAAAAATTTTATTTTCATTATATGATTTTCAAAGGTGTAATTGATTGATTGATTAGTTTTTAGGATGCCATGCCAGATGATTTTGTCGAACTTGTTCATCAAAATCTAATTGATCATATGATGGACGATAAATTCTTCTACGAAGAAATTCATATTTATTAATCGGTTCAGGTCTATAATTTGCATGACCATTTTGAAATAACCATTCGGTAATTTTGGTAGCTATTTGTAATGAAACTTCATTGATTTCTTTTAATGGTGGATATACACTTCCGTTTGTCAATGTTTGTTCTTGTACTAATTCAGCTAAAGATTCGGCTGCTATAATAAAAATTTCATCAACAACATGATAAACTTGACATGCCATTACTGCTAATGCAATGGCTGGAAAAATATAAACATTATTTCCCTGTCCGGTAACGATTGTTTTGTTTTCATATTTTACAGGATCAAATGGTGATCCACTTGCAAATATACAACGACCATTTGTATAATGAATTGCTTCCCATGCTGTACATTCAGATTTAGAATTTGGATTCGATAAAGCAAAAATGATTGGTCTTTCATTTAAATCGGCCATTCGTTTCAATGCTGTTTTAGTGAATGCACCTTTAACGGCAGCCGCACCAATCAAACATGTTGGCTGACAAATTTCAATAATTTCAAGTAAATCATTTGTTTTCGGTATATTTTTAGCAAATATTTTTTTATGATAATCATCATTATTTTCATCAAAATTTCTTTCATTCGTAACCAATCCATTTGAATCGATTAACCAAATTTTTTCACATGCCATTTCAAGATTGACGCCTTGTTTTAGCATAGCCATTACTAATAGATTGGAAATACCTAATGCAGCTCCGCCTGCACCAAAGAATAAAAATCGATGTTGATCGATCCGTTTGTCAATATGACGGAATGCTGTCAAAAGACCTGCTACAATGACCGATGCTGTACCCTGTATATCATCATTAAATGTACAATATTGTTGTTTATATTTATCTAACAAACGGAATGCATTACGATTGCCAAAATCTTCGAATTGTATCAAGCATGTTCTACCCCATTTATTTTTGACGGCTGCCATAAATTCATCCAAAAATTGATCATATTTTGGTCCAATTTCACGTTTTCTTCTTAATCCAATATAATATGGATCATTCAATAATGTTTCATTATTAGTACCAACATCCAAACAAATTGGCAATGTTAATTCCGGTGGAATACCACCGATAGCTGAATATAGCGCCATCTTTCCGACCGGTATGCCCATACCGTTTGCACCTAAATCACCAAGACCAAGAATACGTTCACCATCGGTTACGACGATAGCTTTAATATCCGGTTCATCCCAATTATCAAGTATTTGATGTATACGACCGAAATGTTCATCAATATTTATAAACATTCCTCTTGGACGATTAAAAATTAGACTATATTTTTCACATCCAAGACCAACAGTCGGTGTATAAACAATTGGCATTAATTCATCTGTATATAATTGTAATGCATGATAAAATAAACGTTTATTATAATCTTGAAGATCTCTCATAAATAGATATTTATATAAATCATCATTTATATGTTTCAAATGTTCCATAACAATTTTAACCTGTAATTCTTGTGTACGAATAGCTGGTGGTAAAAGGCCATCCAATTTATAGATAATACGTTCCTTTTGATTAAATGCTAAACCTTTATTCAATTCTGGTTCGCGTAATAGATCACGACTACATAATCGTTTACTATCGTCTATTATTGTTTGACATTTAGAATATGAGTTAAATTTTTCAAACATAAATCTTTTTATCATCAAAAATGTTTGTCGTATTCGAAAATGAAACATTTTCTTTTTTTTTCAAAATTATTTTTGCCACTACATTCCAATGTTATACCTAATTAGTACGGTATTAAATAGGAAAATAATTTCGTTCGAAAACAAACAAAAATAAATTGAATATTTTTCCAAACAAAGAACAAAAATAATTTAATTCCAATTTTGTTCCAAATTCCATAATTATCTATCGGACACAATTTGATAAAAATAAAATGTACAAAAAAAAATGTTTAGCGCTTGCTCCATTTTTTGATTCATCATTATCAATTGTATGGCGATTGCGCTCATTCGTACGTTAACACATGCAATGATGATGTTAGAAACAGAAAAAATAGAGATAACTAAAATAAAGAAAAAAAAGGAGTGAACATTATCCCGATGATGGGAAATGGAAATGGTTATGGCACATACATACACAAACACATTGAAGATTCATTCACGATCCAGGATCCGATTTCATCATACAAACCACATGTAAGATGTGTATAGTAAAGTAAAGAAATTCATATAAACGAAAACACACAATTCTTACATGTGTTCATTTATTTAATGTGATCGATTCGATGAATAAACGCACAAATATTTTTCAAGTTTTTCTTTTTCTTCAAAATCAAAATCCAAAAATTTAACCCTGTCAATATCAGATGTTGAATTTTGACGGCAACAACAACAACAAAAACTTGGAAAATAAAATTTTAAATACGAATAATGAATAAAGGCAGTGAAGCTAACATTTATTGAATTCAATGATTTTAGACCTTTTTAATTTCTCTCAACAATTCATTTTGGTTTATTGATTTTTGTTTTTGTTTGAAAAAAAAACCATTAAATTGATCTATTCTGTTTGTTCGATACAATCATCACATCGACAATGGACGAAAAAAGATCCAATAATAATAATGAATAGGCAATCAACTTAAAATTTGTTTTGTCTATTTGTTTGTCTTTGAAATCTTTGAAACACGGTGACGAAAAAAAAATATATCCCCAATAAATAAATAAATAAATTGGCAACAATAACAGCAAATATTAATCATTACGAATGTCACGAATTTCATCATCATCATCATCATCATCATCGGATTTACCGACGACCATAACAACAACAAATAAACGACAAACAACCATAAAAACCGCAGCAGTCGCACTTGGCAACATTCAACACTCATCTTCATCATCATCATCGTCGTCGTCGTCGTCGTTGTTAGGTTTAGCACAGAAATTATTTTATACAATCAAACAGGCAATTAGTTCAATGTTTGTCTGTCGACTATTGACCAATTTGATTTCAGTATCAAAAACTTCAACAACAACAACAACAACAAATGCCAAATCAACTGATAAAAATAATCGAAAACAATATTGGTGGTGGTTTCGGTCACCATTTTCCAAATTATCATCATCATCAAATCATCATGATTCAAATTTATTTTCATTTTCATCATATCAATTAAATCTTTCTGAATTCTCATCACCATCATCATCAACAACAACATTTCAAGTGGCTTCCAATTTATTATATGATTCAGTTTTAAAAGATAAAAATAATAGCTCATTGAATAAAATTCAAATATCCAAAGCAACATCTTCATCATCATCATCATCAATAAATTTAGCTCAAACAAAAAAATTATGTCATCATAATTTAACAAAAACATTTTGCTACACAAATAAACGGCCGCAGAATCATGACAGAAAATCAAAAAAATCATCCATTTCATCAATTCGATTAGGCCGTGCATTTGATTATTATAAAAATATTTGCAATAATAACAATAAAAATTCATTGAAATTATCATCAAAAGAAAAATTATCATTTGCATTTAATATGGATCAATCATTCAATAATAATAATCATGATGATAATACTGATGATTCAATAGATATTAATGATCAACAACAACAACAACATACGAATGATTTATTAGCACGTCAAAAACGATTTCGAATAACTGAAAAACAGCTAACATATCTTACGCATAAAATTGTAAGTATTTTGATTTTTAAAAAAATTTTGTAATTAAAAAAAATTCTCAATTCTAATTTTTCAATACTATTGTAATATTCTTCTCGCCCACGTCAAAATTCAAACAAAAATCCTTTTTTTTCCAAAAATAGCCCCAAAACAAAAATCATATTACTATTTATCCAGGAATTTTTTTTTCTTCTCACTCTTTCTCGATTCTGCAATATCATCAAAATATTTGTATAAATGTTATGTAATCTAAGTGTGTAGGTGTGTGTGCGTGTGTCTAGAATTTTCAATGATTATTCTTTATTCATAAACACACACACACTTTTTAATTCAAAAAAAAAGAGTATAGCAATTGATTCTCTCTATATGTTTTTTTTTTTTTTGGTTTTGATTCACGAAAACGAAAATCGAATACAAACGAATGATGATGATGATGATGATGATCTGAGTTCACATTGACGTCACACAAACACGCTATATAAATGATTTTTTTCTCGATTTGATAATAGGAAACATTTGGCAGACGATAAAATTTAGTTTCTCTTCCTCCCTAATTTAGAGATTTTTTCCCCTCATTCTTCATTCGATGTGATTTTTTCCAATAGTTTCTTATTGATGAAAAAAAAATTGAAATTCAAATCAAAGATTCTTTTTTGAACATGACCCGATATACAGGGTTTGTACATTTAGTATAACGTAAATTTTTTTTTCAAATTCGATTTGATTCAAGAATTAACTCGACCAATATGTGAATGGCTCATGTGCAGATAGAAACAAAAAAAAAAGTAAAGAAACAGCGGAAAAAAACGTAAATCGTTTGACGTCATACGGATTCGTCATCATTGATGATGGTCGAACTAAAAGAATTCCATTACAATTTGTTTGAAAATCTATACAACTTTTTCTCTAGTCCCAAAAATATATACCAAATGACGAAAGCAATCTATACGGAATAATGATACCGCAATAGATATGAATCAACATAAACAAGGTCATACGATATGGTGCAAACAAAACAAAACAAAAAAAAATCCGGGATTTTATACTAACGATGCAAAAGCAGCATAGAGAGAATGTTTTATTTTCACTCTCTGAGACATTTTCATCATAGTCATAAATCTCTCTTCTTTTTTTTTCTTGCTGGCTATGCGATTCTGTTAAGAAAATTTTTTATGGTATTTTTTCCACGTTGTAAATGTTCAGAGAAAAAAAAATAGATTTTCAAATTGATTTAGATTGAAATAATTTTTTGATAGTAATCAAAATTTCGATTACATTTACAATTTTTTTGCCACCTTTATTAATGATTGAATTGTAATACAGAAACGGACCATATATTAATATATTCTAGACCAAAAAAAAAAGTCACCAAGATTAATTAAACATTCAAATCACAATTATCAATGTCGATTATTCTATCTAACCTAAAAAAACATTGTATGTGTCGAATTGAATTCATTCCGAATCTACTCTGCCAATCACAATTTATATTATTACTAATTAGAAATTTTTTCGTTTTTTTTTAGTTTCAAATTGACAATAATGTCAAATATGTAATTTCAAATACACATTTTTGCAAACAGTTGACTTACTGTTTATAACCAGATATAAGATCCATTCTGATCAAAAATATTCTTTTTCGATTTACATGATAATTTAATTTCATTTTATGTATGTGTTTTTTCTCCTTACAAACGGGATCAACCCAAAAAATTTTCCTTATTATCACGATATTCCTCCTAAATATTTATTGAGACGTTTTTGATATGGATAAGAGTTTATTTTTTGTTAGTTTTTCAGCCCATGAAATTATTTTATTATTGGACACTGAAATTATTGTTGTAAAATAATATGATCATTTTCAATACACCTTTTCCATAAAATCAAAATCAATGAAATTCGTTATTAAATTCATCAAATTCATTTTTTAAAAAAAGTTAAAGGGGTGAATTTTATATACAAAAAAAACGCCCATGTTATTTATTAATCATAAGTAATATGTAAAAAGTACTAAGTTTTGAAAAAAGTAATTTTTTGTTTTTGTTGTAGAAATATATTAACTATCTATCCCATCCAGATATGCATTCACATGTCATTTTCGTCGTCGTGATTTTTGTCTTGGTGGTCGTTGTGGACGTGGAGAAGGATATCGAGTTTTTTGTCTACGTTTTGAATATTTTATTCTTGGTTTTGGTGATGCTGATGATGATGATGATGATGATGATGCAGTTGATGCTATTTTTGATGATGATTGTGATGATACTTGACTTGAAATATATGATAATTTTGCTGGTGATTTTTCTTTTTTACTTGTCTTAATTGTTGGTGATGGTTGTTGCGGTGTTATTGTCATTTGCTGTGGTGGCAAATTCATTGGTAATTTTGTCATATCCATTGGTTGTGGTGGTATATTCATTTGCAATGCTGTCATTCCAGGTTCATTCATTTTCATTGTTTGTTGTAAAAATTGTTGTTGTTGTTGCAGTTTTAATTCTTCTTGTTTTCGTTTTAGTTCTTCTTCTTGTTGTAATTGTTGTAGTTGCTTCATTTCTTCTACTCGATTCAAATGTGAACGATAAAGAAAAGTGCTTGGACCACCAGTTCTTTTATCCAATGCATCAACACATAATGGTAGATTTTTAAATGTTTGTACTTTTAATCTGAAATTCAAAAAACGTACTATTGGTACGGCTGTTGCAAAACAAAATAGAAAAAATATCATATATATTAATGTACTTCCCGTTGCCATTGCCCATATTTCTGTGTGTGTGCAAAAAAATGGATGATTAAATTTTATTCATTTTTGTTTTTGACACATAAACAAATAAATGAAAATGAATACATACCCGATGACCATTCTGACATATCTGGTATATGGTTTTTTGTTTTGTTTAGAACTTTCTTTCTCTGTTTCAAATCGAACTAAAAAATATTTTTTTGACATTTTTATATCTGAAATGAAATTTTCAAATTTAATTTAATTTTGTTTTTTTTTTCGTTCTATTTGCAAAAATTCATAAAAAAATTGAAAAAAAATAAACAGGAAAAACTTTTAGTAAAATTAGAATCTGAATATGAAACAGAATTGGCAACAACACCGGATGAAGAGGTATGAAAATTTTGTTTTTTTTAATAAAAATTTTTATTATATTTTTGTTTCTGCATAAGTGTGTCATCTGTATAAGTGCAAAAGCAACAATGCAAACATTTCCATGTGGTCATCGTGTTGTTTGTCGAAAATGTTTTGTCAAAACAATACAGATGGTTGTATCACAACGTATATTGCCATTAAGATGTGTTATTTGTCGTGCAAAAGTATTACGATTAAAACAAACAACAACCGGTGGTTTTTGTTGCGGTTCATTTGGATTCAATCGATCAAATTTATCGAATCTATCCTCAACATCATCATCCAACAATGGTAATAACAACAATAGTAAGATTGATTTAAATTTAATACATTGGATTACTGGTGGTGGACAATCAGAACAACATTCACAAATACCAATACCAACAACAACAAAATTGACAACTATAAAACAGCCCATAAATATTATTGATAAACATGAATTAAGACAACAACCAATCAAAATACACAAAAGACCTAATAGTTTATCATTACAGACACCCCAAACATCTACTTCATCATCATCATCATCATCATTATTACGTTTACAGCAAACAAAATCATCACCAACAACACCTACAAGTTGTTTGACTGAAATATTTAATGTACAAAAAGCATTATATGATGATTGGGAAAATGATAATAATAATAATAATCAGGAGGCTATAATAGCATTGCCGCCAATAGGTTCCACCTCTAGTGATAGAATACAAATTGATGATGATGATAATGATGACGATAGGCAAACATTTACACAAAAAATACCTTATAATAATGATACAAATAATTTAGTTATTAATACCAAAAATCATCAGGTAAGATTCTTTTTTATTTCATTGATTTTTTTTTTGTTCAATTATATGAAAATTTTGGAGAGCTGCTGTTTATAATGTTGCTGGTTGCTTTTTTCAGGAAAGTAAAACATTAACAAACGTTATTATTAATTTTTCATTGAAAAAAAGTAATAATAATATTCACCGATCTCAGAATTATCACCTTTTTAAATAGATTGATTTAACACTGTATGCCTATTTATAAAAATGGCTTTAATTATTTATTTAAATTATTTTTCAAATTATTAATTCAATGGATAAAAAATATGGAAACAAAATAGAAAAAAAATTATTAATCATAAATTTTGCATAATTTCTATGTATGCAGTCAGACATAGTGTTGACTACCACAGACACTAAAAATCATCATCATTCAATCAATCAAAGGCCACAGGTTCTGGATTTAGAATCTGGTATTGAATGGCATGAACGACGCCTACAACGTCTATTACTACGGCAACAACAACAGCAACAAAAACAGCAATCTTCTCCAAATTATCATTATGAACAAAACTCATATCGATGGAAAAAACAATCATTACCAATATCGGCCAGTTTTCCATTTTGTTCACCATACATATCAAATGATAATCAACAACAACAACAACAACATCATCATCATTTGTGCCATTATTATAATTATTCTTTTCATCATAGGAAAAGGAAACTATCATTATCAAATGGATATTTACAATATGGGTGGAACAACAACACCAATAATGTACAATCAATTCAAAAGACTCAATCAACATCATCATCAGCAACAATATCAGCAATCGATTCAATGTGCGGATCATCAAATCGATTATCGAAAACAAATCAAAAACAATCCAAAATTGAAGCCAATTTCATCGGACAACGTAAATTACAATATCAACAACGTTCGAAATCAACGTACCTGGTTCCGATAGATGAAGAACAAGATGACGATGATGATGATGAATATGATATCTTTAATATGAGCCTAATAAATAAACACGAACAAGATGAATTACCCGTTCATATTAATCATCATAATTCAACACAATCATTAATTATTAATTCATTAACATCATCACCATTGAAACATAATTCATCATATTATCAACAACATCAACAATCATCATCATCATCATCATCGATATTATCATCGTTGATCAATTCTTCCATATGGAATATTTCATCATCAAAATTTGATAATCTAAGAAAATATCGTTCAGATAGTTTTCTAACTGCTAGTCAAAATAGCCAAAATATTACTGCCATAAACAGTAGACATAATAAAAAATTGTTAAAAAATAATCAATCGATTCAAATGAAATTATTGGATGATGTTGATAATAATCGTATTGAAACACCCGATAATAATAATAATAATGATGATGAGCAAATAATCAACAAAAAACGATGGCATCAACGAATCATTCGATTTCGTCCATCATCATCCAATCTTACATCTTTAATGAATAAGTTGTTTCGATCTAGATTAGAACGACCATCTGCTAAATCGTCATTGTTATCATCATCATCACCATTGCTATCCTCCCAACAACCATCATCATCAACAACAACAACATCGATATTACATTAAATTTGTCCATGTAAATTTTAAAATAATTTATAAAATTTTAGAATTTTGTTCTTGAATTAGAATTAATTTTATTGTTTAGAAACTATAAAAAAAACTATATTGATTGTTGTATAATTGAAATAAATTTAATTTTAAACTTTTGTTTGTTTGTTTTTTTGATTTAAAAATGGTCACCATAATTTGAAAAGTTGAATTTGTTTCTGTTTCTACTTTTATATAATTGTATGAATCAATGAATAGTGGTAGCAGTAGTATCAGTAGTGATCATCGTCAATCAAATAAAAATTCATCAATTTCATCATCATCATCATCAGTGAGCAATGTCGTTTCTACGATGATAAATCGTTCAGCCAGTGGTAAAAGTTGTAATAGTATTGCTAGTCTAGGAATCGGTTCAGGTGTATCAAATTTATCGCCCAATGAACAACAACAGCGAAATTTATTGAAGAAAAAATTGGACATTGAATTAGTGAAACCTAAACCGGAAAATAGTCAACATATGAGCCATGATCATGGTTCACCTATGTATGATTGTATTCTATTCCTAATCTATTGTATTGAACATGATCGTTTTGCTGTTACAAATGTTAATGATGATCATCAAACTATTTGGTTACCATTTGTAAGTCGTGATGGTAATGATTGGAGTAGAGCATCGGAACTTGGATTATTATCAATGTTTGAAAAACGTGATCCAGATGGTGTTGTCACTAATCATGTGAATATTTCACATACAACAAAAATGATTGAATTATGTCATATACAAACAGTATCCGGACGTTGGATTCAACGTGCCACACAATTTATAACGATAACACGTTGTCAGAAAACATGTCAACCAATTAATTCAATACAATGGATGAATGCAGGTAATATTTTAAAAGATGATAGCGCTATTTGGGGACCAGAATTTCGTAAATATCTTGAACATCTTGAAAGACATTATTCGGAATTACAAGTGGTTGAATATCCAATAGATTCTGTATTACGTTATCATTTAACACATAGTAATGAACGTTCGGATAAACAATCAGTGACCGCTATTTCGGGCCTGATGAAAGCACGAAATCTTTCATTGAAATTATTGACCGATCTTTATGAACACTATATACGACATACATTTCCATCGTATTATATGAATTTTGGTTCATTTAAAATCTATCTACAAAAATGTGGTCTCAAATCGGATATTATTTCTGCACAAGCAAAATATATGTTTAATTGTTGCTTAATACGAACAAATCGTGATTGTAATGGTGCAACATATGTTGATTTCCATGATATATGTTATCTATTATTAGTATTGGATCCTGAAATTCCAGATGATAATAAATATAGACAAGCATTTGTTATAAATTTTATTGATCAACAAAATATGTCTGATTCATCAGAAGATGGTGAAAATAATAAATCATCACATAATGTAATGCCACAAAAATCAAAACATTCTAGTCTTAATAAAGTGCATTCAATGGTTTTATCCGCTATGAATCGTCAACCTAATAAACAACCAATAACAAAGACGGCTAAATCAAACAATGTTGGTGATATGAATGAATCGATAATTGGTCCGACAAAGCTAACCAAAAGTGTATTTGCAAAATTAACTAAAATGAAGAAAAAACAAACTGAACGATTAGTTTCAGATAAAGCTAATCTTACACGTGGTCTATGTCGAAATTGTCGGGTAAAATCATTCGAATATGGACAACATTGTATCATGTTTGATTCGATGGGTCGATGTGTGGAACCGAAAATTATTCTTAATGGTAGATTTAATAATGAAAATTTTTTAAAACAAATTATTAATTTTTGTGTAATTTATAACAATAGCTGAAAATCAATTCATACCGATTAGCAAATTAGAAGGAAATAAACTTTATTCCGCTGAACATGTTTTCAAACCAGATTCGATCGGAAATATATTATTCGATTATATGCGTAATCGTAAATTTTTAGCAAACACTTTGTCAACTACCGGCATACAACATCATCCAACGGCAATTATGCCCGATGATGATAATACAACCGAACGATTAGGAGGAGGTGCAGGCAGTATGGATGATGTAGAATTTTTGGATATAAATGCTATACAAGCTATTTGTGATTGTACACGTAAATTACTCAAATATGAACCAAAATTAATAAAACGTTCTGGATCGACAGTGATTATTGGTGATATACGTGGTGATTTTGATACATTACTAACGATGGAACAATCATTATGGCCAACAGTACCGGTTATTGCACAGAATCTAGTATTTCTTGGTAATTATACGGGCAACAGTAAAAAAACAATTCATGATTATAATATTGAAACGATTATCTATTTATTTGCTGTGAAATATCTTTGTCCAAACAAAGTAATTCTATTGAAAGGTATTAATGAAACACGTGCATATAATGAAAAAACATTATTAGTCGAATGTCGTAATCGATATGGTGATGAACGAGGTGGTCGTATATGGCGAACAATTAATCAAGTATTCGATGAATTACCATTTGTATGTATTATTAATGAATCAATTGTATGTGCATCATCCGGTATACCAAAAGATTCATTAAGACATAAATTATCAACATATTTTGATAGCTATGTAATGGATACAAAATCATCAACAGTTTGTGGTAATTTTGCTAATAATAAAGAATTTGCCCTTTTTCAGCATATACTTGTCAATATTCCTGAACATACACAGCCACCACAAAATCACTCACCATCGGAATCCAAATCAACCCATCTATTCAAAGAAAATCCTGCCTTACCGAATGGATTTATCTTTTCACGTGAAGCATTTCTACAATTTATGTCATTGAATAATTTTAGCTATATGATTCGTAGTAATGAAGAACCACCATATACAGCATATATGATGAATGGTTATCATTTATTAAATGATAATCGATTAATTTCAATCATTTCTAATATTTATATTGATGAATCTGGACAACAAAAAAGAAATAAAGCTATCGTTGCATACGTTCATCATCCGGATGGTCGTATACAATTAAAACAATTGGAAAATGAATATCAAAAACAGTCAACAGCCAAACAACGAATGTCTCCGAATGTTTTTTTCAATAAAAATCAATGATGCGAAAGAAAAGAGAGAGCAAGAAAAAAATCCAAAAATTTTTTCATCATTCATCCAACGGATTGAATTAATTGATTTAATCCATCAAGAAAAGAAGTGAAAAAGAGATAAAGGGAATGTAAATTCAATTAAAAACTAAATTTTTAAATGCCATTATTCAACGTGTTTGTGTTTTATTTCATAGCCCGACAAATTGAGTAAGAAATTAAAATTTGTTCTACTGATTCTGTGTGTGTGTGTGGGTGCTGTGTGGAAAAGAATGAGAAATAGAGATGGTTAGTGATATATATCATCGTATAACAAAATCAAATATAATCAAAGAAGAACCAGATTTCGAGGTTACGAGCATATTATAAGGTCACACGAATAAATTATATTGGCCATAATGACGACATTCACCTATGTGGAACAAAACCAAATACTCTACGTCATCATTGATATTATCTTAATCATTCCTTTAAGAATTTAGGGCATTTTAGTTTTTTTCTCTTTATCATTTTTTTTCGAACGACGCATGTATATTTTCGATAAAACTGACTACGGATGTTGTTGTTGCTGTTGCTATCGACGTTTTTTTTTTTGGTTCCAAAAATAGAAACACACTACTCATAATAGCTATATGTGTGCTATCCATGCCGACATGCATGGTAATTCCGGACAACAAAAAAAAAAGTTGCTCAGTAAACCAAATCTATTAATGTTTTTATTTTTTGTTATCTAAAACAAAACAAAATAAAAGAAAAAAAATTATCGATAATTTAATAATTTGCTATGATTTTGAAAGTTTTGTTTTGACGATGATGCTAATAGGAAACTTGAAAAAAATAAATTCTATCGATCACACGTTCATCCACTATCAGCCATAATTTACATTAATGTATACGAACAAATATGTAGAATGAAAAAAAAAGCTAAACAAATGTGAATACATTTGCCTGGCAAACCAGTTATTCAAGCATCGCTTGTTGTCCACACAATAATAATGATATGTAAAAATGTTGTATACATTTTTATTTATTCATATTGAACAACATTCCGTATTTTTATCATCATCATCATCATTACCATTCGTTGGCATCGAAAATCATTCATTTTCTTTTTTTTGTTCATTAAATTTTTTCAATCATCAACAAATATCATGAATGAAAACGAACAAAATACTAATCATCTTCAATGGCTCGATTATCTTGTATTTATTACAATGTTATTGATCTCATGTAAGTATCTTTTTTATTATGAATTTTATATGAATTGAAAAAAAAATGTTGTTTGATAGTATGCATCGGGGTTTATCATCGTATGACTGGTGGACGGCAAAAAACTACTGCGGAATATCTTTTGGCTGATAAATCGATGGGAGTATTGCCAGTATCATTTTCATTAATGGCTAGTTTTATGTCGGCAATTACACTATTGGGCGTTAGTGCCGAAGTTTATTTTTATGGCGCTCAATTTATACTTATTAACATATCATATATAATTGGTTCACCGATTGCTGCTTATGTCTTCCTACCAATATTTTATAAGCTTAAATTGACCAGTGTTTATGAGGTATGGATTTACGCATTTGAAAAAATAAAACAAATAAAAATATTATTTCTTTTTTTTTCTTCAGTATCTAGAATTACGATTCAATCGTTCGATACGAATATTAGTTTCTGTCATTTTTATTTTGCAGATGATATTCTACAATGCGATTGTTCTATATGCACCAGCATTAGCATTAAGTGCTGTCACCGGTGTCAATCGTTGGACATCAATTTTTTCGGTCGGTATCGTTTGTACTATTTATTGTACGATTGGTGGAATGAAAGCCGTACTTTGGACTGATGTTTTTCAATCATTTCTAATGTTTTTCTCGATGGTCACCATCATAATAAAAGGAACCATCGATGTTGGTGGTTGGAACGTCGTGTTTGAACGTGCAATGAATGGATCACGTCTTGAATTTAATAAGTGAGTTTTCCATAGATTTAAATTCATTGTGATTATTGTGAATTTCTTTCAAATTAGCTTCAATCCAGATTTTACCGAACGACATACAGTATGGGGCTTAGTATTTGGTTCAATTTTCATCTATATATCAATCTATGGTGTCAATCAGGCCCAAATTCAACGATTAATGACGGTAAAGAATCTTCAAAAATCTCAGCAAGCATTGTTCATTAGTTTACCATTAACATCGATGATCAGTTTGGTTACCGCACTCACCGGTCTTGTGATGTATGCTAATTTTTACCAAGAAGATCCACTAAAATGTGGCTACATTAAAAAACCTGATCAATTACTTCCATATTATGCTGTTAATCGTTTATCAGAATATCCAGGCCTTCCTGGATTTATTATTGCCGGTATATTTTCCGGTTCATTATCTACGGTATCATCATTTGTTAATTCATTATCGGCTGTCACTCTTGAAGATTATTTGAAACCAGTGTTTAAACGAGATGAAATCTTCACTAAAAATGAAGTTATCATTACCAAGTTATTGGCACTATTCTATGGAATATTATGTGTAATGCTGACCATTTTAGCTGATCAAATGACCGGTTTATTACAAGCATCGTTGACATTGTTCGGCGTGGTAGGGGGACCATTGTTAATGATTTTTACTGCTGGTATCTGTTTCCGCTCGATAAATTCTAACGGTGCTGCCACCGGATTTATCGTTAGCCTAATATTCGGTTTATGGATTGGATTTGGTAGTATGTTGTTTGGAAAACGACCCGAACGATTGCCGTTATCTACTGAGCTTTGTTCCGATAGCCAGTTGGGTAACTCTACAACTATTCCATATTTTAAGCCAAAAAATATCCCATATGAACCATCAACATTATTTTTCTATAATATTTCCTATCTTTGGTCAGCTGGTTTTTGTTGGGTTTTAGGGTTGATTGTAGCCATTGTTGTTAGCTGGTGGACAAAAGATTCGTCCATTGATGATGATAATAAAGAGCGAAAACAAATACAACAATCTCTACTTCATCCCTTAGTTCGTCGACGGCCTAATATTGATCAATTATCATGCCAGCCAATAATGAATGACATCCGGATGAGTACGATTGAAAAGAAAAGTTTGCCAAATGTTGAACATGTTCCCAATGGAATTATGTATTAAAAGTTATTTGATAATTATTAACATTCCTTTCTATCTTTCAACATATTTATCAAGATAATTATATTTTGTTGTTTCTTTAAAGTCTAATATATATACATTTTTTTTTTGAATCAGAGTGATTAAAAATTAAAAATTTGTACTTATGCCATGTCATTTATGAATGATGAAAAATGATGTCTGCATTGTTTTTATTCGATTCGATGTGCGTTCGTGTATATGATGTGATATAATCGTCGAGCCAAGCGGTGAATTCTTTATTTCAATTATGGTTATTGTTATTAACGATAACAAAAAAATCCATTACTGATTTCGATTAAGTGATAATTATCATTCGGATCAATCCGTTGATATCAATTTATGTTAAATTGTTGATGTTTATTTATGGCAGATAGAACAAACAAACATGTCAACAAGTGAAATTTTGCAACAATTGGAAACATGTGCCCAGATTCTTATGGTAATTTTATTGATGTGTATTTTTAAAAATCTTAATCTTGATTACAATTCTTTTCATTGAAAAGGCACCTCCAAACAACATTAGTGCCACTGATCGAACAAAAGCTGAAGAGGTATTCCTAAATTTTCAAAAAACCAAAGCTCCATTCAAACTATGTCGAGAAATGATGGAAATAACACAAAATCAATTTGTATTGTTTCAAATTGGTGCTTGCCTTAAATGTGCCATCATTCGTGAATGGTCATTGTTGGGTGTTGAACAATCAAGTGCCTTGTTTAATTATCTTTTCGATTATGTAAATCGACGACCATTAGACCAGTATGTTGTCGAAGAAATGATGTTGGTCAATGCCATCATACTTAAACGAATAGACATTGAAGAATTATCAAAAGATCAAAGTGAAACATCAAAAACAATGATTGCATCGCTTTTCATTATAATCAAAAATCCTGCAGCATCCGTTCAAATGAGAATTAATGCTTGTACGGCTATCATTCGTATTCTTAGTGAATATTCTACATTAAGTTATAATTCGGATTATGGTCTATCCTGGTATTCACATCTGAATGCCAAACGATCGTTTGAGAAACGTAATTTAAAAGATATATTCTCTGGCGCCATTGAAGTTTTATATGGGCAGATAAAAATGCCTGAAGAAATACGAAGATCAAATGATAATATAAAATTGAGTGCTAAATTAATTCGTATTTGTGAAATGGTTCTCACCTGGAACATGGAATCATTCTCATTTATAACTGGTTATTTCATTAAAGCGCGTGATCGTATCGAAAGTCAAATGTTTAATCCACCAAATGATTGGTTCAAATTTATTATTGATGGCAATCTGATTTCATTTTTCTTTGAAATGTATCTCAGTTTTCGATCGATCGATCCGAATCTATTACACAGCTCATTAACTTGTTTAACACAATTGAGTACAATGGTTTGCATCCGTCATGAAATGTCATTGCGAGTAAAATTCTCTGAAACATTCATGCAGAATACAATTTCATTGTGTAATATGATCATGGATGTCATATCACTTCATGAAGTACAGTTTCTGTCCAATATGTTCAATTCAATCTGTATTTATCTTCGTAGCCATGTGGTCATTGATGAATGTAATCCAGCACTGACTAAACAATTCATCGATACAATGATTAAATTTACTTGTAAAGTCTTACTCGAATCGGTAAAGATTAAAACACGTTTCGATGAAGATGATTTTGATAAATGTAATCAATCAATTGAATATCTAATGAATTCAGTGATGATCATCGTCAAACTTACCCATTACGACCGTCGTATGCACGAAGAAGTACATGGACCATCGCTTAATCAAAATGAACAAATCACTCTGCAGGAATTATGTTTATGGACCAAACCATTGTTTGAAACATATTTACGTGTACATCTCAGTGAACCCGAAGGTCTACTTTCATTGGCATGTTTTAAAGATGATGATGAAATTCAAGAATTCGAAGAAGATGATATTGGTAAATTTCGTGAACAAATGATTGCCATTGGTTCAATTGGTCAGGTTGATCTTCGTAGTACGATAGACACGATCACACAGTTGATGATTATGAAACTTCAACAATTTGAAGCCTGTATTACGGCAATGAACATGAAAGCTGAAGATAAAATGTTACAATGGATGCGAATTTCCGAAGATATTCATTGGATTTTGATGATATCCACTTATATATTCACATCATATGCTGAAAATGATATTCCTACCGAAGTAGTTGACCTATCTATTAAGGCTAGTGCTGATATACAAGCTACAATGGCAGCATTACAGAATGGTGATTTTACTCGTCCTAATATTGATCCAGTTGTACGTTATTTTATCGTCATACTTAAATTAGTACAAATGGAAAAACAGTTACTGGAAAATAATATGATTCAATGGGTATCACCTCAAGTGTCATATACTTTGACATATTTTGTATCTCGTTTTCTGCACATCTATCTCGTACCACCCGAATATGAAAGTGATCAAAGTGTCATGAGTCTGTCGCTCAATTCGTGTTTCGGTGCCGATTCTCCAAATGTAAAAAATTTGATAAATTTTTTTCTCGATCATATGGAAACAAAATTCTTAACCATGAGCAGCGAGACACAAGTGTTAGAATTATCTAGCGAAGGTTTGCGTGTATTCTGTGAATTTCGTGATCGTATTAAACTGTTGCATGAATGTGCAAGCTTACATCGTTTATTGCAACGTTTTCCGATTGATCCAAATTTTCGTAAACTAAACAGTGCAGTTCGCCGTGATATGTACAATGTATTCATCATTGTATTTGCTCAAAACCAAGATGTAGTCATTGATCCGTTGATAAATTTGTATCAAACATTTCGTGAACATTTACGTGCTGGACAGCGAGAATTGATTCAGGAAGAATTTCTTATTATTGTTGATTTTACAATGGGCATATCATCTGGAACAACTTCAAATACATTCAATCATGTATGGCGAAAATTTCTACTACCATTCTATAACGAATTGCCCGAAGTGTTAAGAGTGATGCACAAGTGTAGCATTGTTGTTCAAGCTATTTTAGAACTATTATTTCATTTATCAACATGTTTTTCTATTTATTTCAAAGAAGAAGATAGTCTTGCATTCTATAAAACGGCCGTTGCCATATTTACTGAATATGCTTTGCATACAAAAGATACATTTTCATTAGATGCAACACGTTTAGAAGAAATGCAAGCAGAATTCATTTCGATTCTTAAATTTTTGAATGATCTCTCCAATCAGGATATATTTTTATTTTTTACCAATCCATCATTAACATCATCATTAAATCAGACCATTGGTCAAGTTGTTATTACATCATTAAATATAATCATGCCATTGATGAATGATCAACTGTTGGAGAATCAACGACTTTGTGCCTTGTATTATAAATTATTAGAATTCATATCGCAAGATACGGATCGTTTTAAAGGATTTCCGATCAAATTATTTGAAAGTTATTTAAAATGTGTGGAATATGCTTTCAGAGCTAACAAGTAAGTGTTTATTTTTCTCTCATTTTTAAAATTTTGATTCTGAATATATTCCTAATTTGATTCCAAACTTGTATCAATTGTGTGAATACGTGACTTTTTTAAAAAATCCATGAAAAAATGACAAACATCAGAAGGTTCTTGTACAATATTTTAAAATTTATATCAAGAAAAAAGATCTATTTATTAGATAAATTGTTGCTAAGCTATCCAATGATGAAGTACGTTTAGGATTATCATCAAAAAGTGTGTGCATATAAGAGAAAAAAAAACGTTTGACGATGATTTATTGATTGAAATGAATCAGTTTTATAATAATTTATTATTAGATAGATTTTTATCTAACAAACTTGATTTTTTTTCTTCAAAATTCGGTTTGATCATCTTTTCTCCAATCATTTGTTTTTTATTTATTTATATCTTATGTTAATGTAATATAAATAATTTCACAATAAAGTTTGTCATAGATTAAAATATTTTAGTGTTTTTTTCACACAAACAAACAGAGGTTAAGTATAAATGTCTTATTTTCGTCGGCAAGAGACAAATGAATATCGAATTCCAAAAGAAAAATCATTTTTCTTTCACTTTAGATACGACAGGCATCAAAATTTTGTTTTCTTATATTATATCCCCATTATGATTGGTGATGATTGTGAGAATGCATCACTCGAATCCAATCAATCATTATCATATAACATTGCTTGAATCTATATAATAAAAGCGGCTTATTTTTTCCGGACTGTTTTGGTTGACGTTTTAATTTTGCTGTTGTTGTTGTTGACATGTATAGTCTCGTTGGGTCTTTTTATTTATTTTTTGCAGTTCATCAAAAGGATCAAAGAGAAAATTGAACAAAAATATAAAAATGTTTGTCTGCTTTTTAAAAAATATCGATCAAAGTATGCTATTTTGTTCGTGCGTTTTTTTCTGTTCAATTAAAGTCTTGTTTGGTTTCACTCATGAATCGTTGATAATTGACAATTTGATTTTCTGATTATTTCTCTGGCAATTAAACTTTTCAAAATCATTTTTATCTAAATTATTCAAATGTGGAGAATGAATTTTTCTTTTTTGTCGAAAGCTAAAACCGAAATGCAATTTATTTACAGAGGTTATATTTGGTTGTGTAATTTTTAAATTTCAGGAAACAGAATGATGATTTAAAGATTTTCTCTTTTTCCTTATTTTTATATTTCGTTGTTTTTGTTGTTGTTGTTATTTGTTCAAATGATGAAAGAAAACGACAGAAAGTTATCTTTGTTGTTTCTGCTGATTCATTCATTCAAAAGTCACATGATTTAAAATATGAATAATTATTCTCAGAATCATCAATTTTTTTCAATCATAGTTGTGCTACTTGTTTTTATAATAGATTTTTTTAAAGCAAAATATTCTCATTTTCTCATTATTGCCATTTTGTTTATTTCAATCAATAGAATCTAGATCATTTGATGATGAAGAATGACAAAGATTGAATACTGTTTCATCGCAAAAAAAAATTATCCATAGCGGTAATAACCAGATTAAACTGGAAAAATATTTTCTTATTGTATTGATTCGATGATAGATTTATGTTTGAAATGTTTCGATTTTATTTTTGGCTTGACTTAATTTTCACGTTCCTTTTTTCGAAAAACATTATAGATATAATTAGTGTGGATATATGTCTGCCAATGTTTTTCTCTATGTTTTCATGTCTGTCTGACTTTGATGTAAATGGTGATTGCGTGTATAATATTGAATTATAATTTGACAACAAATATCATTTTTTGTGTCACAAACATTAAATGAAGATATTCAAGGAAGCGCGAGAGATTTCTGATAATTTATTTTTTCTTTCTTCCTGTTTTTTACATTTAATCTTTTTCTGTATCAATTACCCATTTGAAAATTGGATTTTGACTTGTTTTTTTCGAAACCCTATGAAGTTTGTAATTTACACTTTAATTAAATTATGCAACAAGTGTAGAAAAAAACATTGTTAATTTTTTTTTTTGGCTATTGGAAATGTTAGTTTTATTTGATTCAATTCTGATCCAATCTGACGATCGAATGTTGATGGGGTGATTAGATGAAAGCGAAAAAATTGGCTAAAAATAGCATTTACATACATTCCAAATTCAATGTGTGTGTGTGTGTGTGTGTAAATAATTGTTGGTCAATTATAGATAGATGTGTTTACCTAATCTATGTGTCGATTGTGCTTGCGGGTAATCCTTGAAATTGTTGAAGATTTCATGTAAAGAAATTTTCGAAATGAATTTTTTTATTGGACTTTTTATTTTTGTCATTTCGCCGACAACTTTATTTATTTTATTATATCCAGTCTGACTAATAATAAAAAATTTTCTTTCTATTCAATCCACAACATTTTTTTTTATTTCGATGAATGATTAGAGAAAAAAAATTAATTCAAATCTATTATCAGTAGAAATTTGAGATGTAACCAGTTCCTGAACTTGATCATTCAATCTATCAATCATTGGTGTTTATAGGGAAAAAATCTCTTCAAATTTAATTCCATAATCTGTAATCGATGTATTTATGTCAATATCAATCGTTTGTTTCATGTCATTACATGATGATGATGATGATGATGATGAGTACTAATTTTTTTCATCATTGTTGTGTACACATGTATTCATTTCAAATGAAAATAAATGAATCGATTTTTCAATCAGGCATTGGTGTTTATTATCATTTTTGTTGATAGCTGTTGATAATTAATCTATCAAAATATTAGGAAGGAAAAAAATTGACATTGAATTATTTAATCTTTATAGATTAATCTAATGATAGTTGGAAATATTTTCGATTAACAGATAAATGAAATGAAATAATTTTTTTCGATTTATCATTAATTAAACTTTTTAATTTTTGTTCTTTTTCTTTTTTTTTATTAGTATCCCAAATGAAATCAAAGCAATTGGATTCAAAATATTGGTCCAGTTGGGATATCAAACGGCTGAATCATCGGAACCATCTGAAGAAATTTTGAAATTTTTACGACCTTTTTTTCAGATTATTATCGAATTTATATTTTGTGAATTGGTACGCAATAATGATCTGATATTAAGAGATGCTGTGGCCATGGCTTTATATTCTTTGGTTCGGTGTTTTCGACAATCATATCAGGACATTATAAGAGAATTGATGCGATTCATCAATGATCCCCCTATTGAAGATCGAATCTGCAGAACATTATTTAGTATCGTTGAAGAGGTTGGCCTCAACAGTCGTTATAATGCAGCCAGATTGACATTCAAAAAACGATTTTCCGAATTCATTAATCAATTACATTCAATGTTAACGCTACGATAATATAATTTATATTTTGATATATTTTTTCCCCTCAAAAAAATTAACACCTACACAATGATACTATCCTTGTGTGAAATATTAATTGATGTTCTCAAAAAATACAGCTGTCACAAAATATGATACATACAATATAACTTACAATAAAGTATATTTTTTTAAATAGACAACGATATCTAGACATATGGATTGAAGGTTTTTGGAAATTTCCGTAATTCAAAAGCAAAACCAAAAGCATTAATTAATAAATTTTTTTAAATGAATCTTAAAATTTTTAATTTTCAATAGTAATAATTATTAAAATAATAACGTTAATTTTTCTTTTTGCTTCCATATCCGAAAAAAATATTGATTGATTGAATTTTTTATCGATCACGTTCTATTATTGATCATCAACATAGCAGTTTCGTCATTCGATTTTTTTTCTTTTTTTGTCATCTCATCACGAATTTTTGTTTTGAAGTAATAATTTGAAAATATTCGTTTTTTTTCTATTTTTTATGAATGTGTGAAATAAATCGGGTAGCATTCAAAGGTTGAGTGATTGATCTCACTTGATGTCTGAGAAAAAAAAGAAGCATGGGCAAGTTTATCGTTGGAATACGTATCAAATGAATAGGGTTCAAGGTTCACTTGATTAATTTATCGAGTGATTGAAAAAAATCTATGAATTTCTTCATTAAAAAAGGGTACAATAGTTTTGCTCATTTTTTTTATAACGGAAATTATTTTTCTCTATTCTCAAACGTTTTTTTGAGCGGTGGTGGTGGTGTCATAGTGAAAAAATAATTGAATTATTATTCTCATAGTCATTCTGTATAGAATAATTTACGAACGACCTAGATTATTGTATCATAATGAATAAATTGAAAAAAAATAAAAAGATCATGTTTGAAACAAAATAAAACCTCTTTCTATATATATTAAAAATAAATCGATATTGGATGAGTGAGAGTCAATCAATCGAATTAGCAAAAGAAAAATCGGCCCACAAATCATTAATTCGTAAAAAAATTAACATTAATCATAGATTGATGAGATGAACATAAAAAAATAACATTATTTTTTTTTTGTTTTTGGGCGTTGTTTGGTAGGTGGTTTCGTGTTTTCATAATTATAGTATGACTTGATCAATTTCTAAATATGTAATAATCACATTGTCGAATCAAAAAAAAAAGAAAGAAAAAAATGGCGACGAAAAAACAATCGTTTGACAAGAACAATTGAATTTTCAAAAATGAAATGATAATAAGAATACGAATGAAAGATTACTAATGAATGAAGAGATTTCAAATCATATGTATGTTTGAGACGATGATGATAATGACAAGCAATTGGTGTGGATGGCCATTATATAAAAAACATTAAATTCTCATTGAAGATTTTCGAGATGATGATGAGGATTCATGATTGGCATTATTGGATATTGATGGTGATGTCGGTGATGATGATGAGGATGATTGGCAATGATGATCTTTAGCAGGCAGAATCATCATCATATTATCACCATCATTATTCAACAGGACCGTTTTTTCATTACCACCATTATTATCTGAATCATTATTATCGATGGATAAATGGGCTTCATCGGAAAGTTTCAATTTAGTTGTGCCATTAATATCATTATGATTTTGTCTATGATGATGATGATGATTATGATGGTGATTGTGGTTATCCTGTCCCGGAACATTGATGAGCAAATGCAATTTCTCACCATTCATGCACCCATTTATCATTAATTTGTTGTTACTGGTATTATTATGTCCAATATGGCCATTATGATTATTATGATGATGATGATGATTGACGATCAATACCTCATCGAATACGGTTCGTGGTTCATCGATGCCTAATTTAATGGTCGATGTACGTCGTCGTTGTATTCGTTGCATACGTATTATGTTCAACATTAATATCGCAGCAAATATGGGCGGTATACCGGCCAAACAAAATGCTAGTTTATAATTACCATATATTCCATATGCGTAAGCTATTATGGGTAATGGATAGAAAGAAAGAAAAAAATTGACATTCAAAAAGGTGAGCTTTCCTGTAATGCATTTAATAATATAATGAATGACAACAAAAAACTTACCGGCAATCGGTGGACCAGTTGTCAACGGAAGTGAACAGAAACATAGTAATAAACCAATGGCTTGATTAGCATATTCGGGTCCGACCAAATCGAAGGCAATCGGTCCAAGCAATGAAATGAATGTACCATCAAAAAGTCCTAGACCACAACAGATCAGTAGCAAAGGAAAATCACGGACAAACGGCAAACACATGGTCAAAACTCCGATTGAAGCGAATGCTATTTGTTGTAAACAAATTCGATTAATTTTCGATACATCGGCTAATGGTCCGGTAATCAAACGGCCAATCATGGAAGTGATACCAATGGACATTACCAATACTTCGCCTTGATAAGAGGAATTAATATCTCGAGCATGTTTGACAAGATGACAGAATGGTACAAAATAGCCAAACAATCCCATTGGTATGGAAATAACCCAATAAAGATAAAGATTATTTTTCCATAATGCATCATAGAAAAACATGTTGGCCAGATTTTTCTTAGCAGAACCATTTTGTTTCGATGGTCGTTTAATTCGTTCCTTAAATGATAATGAACAAAGTATCAAAGTGGCCATCAATATGGACAAATATTTGAAGGTAACTTGAATGCCAACGAGATCTAATAACCAACGTAACAAAATGGGCATTACAATGGAAAATGCTGAACTACCAGCGGTTACTAGGCCATTAACCAATCCAAGACGTCTAGTAAAATAATGTCCCAATATGGCTAATGATGGTCCATATACTAATGAAGCACCGATACCGAGAACTAGGCCATACGTAACATAAAGATAAATTAGATTGAGCGATACAGATGATGCATACATCCCAATAGTGGCCAATATACCACCAATAAAACATATCATTCGTATACCATAACGATCACTCAATACCGATGCAAATATTGAACAGAAGAAAATTAGACCAACATTAAAGGAACCAACACCAGCTAAAAGCAATTATTTGGAAAAAACATTGAAAAAAGAGAAATTGAAATTTGAAAAAAAATCTATTAAAAACATTTCATTTACTTTTTTTCGTAATTGAAATCAAAATATAAACATTCAATCTTTTGGTAAACAAAATTCCGAATTGATCGACATAAAAAGTTGAATGACACACGCTCACCGAGACACAGACACACACATATGTACGATAAAAATTATTTTCGTTGTCAAATTGAATGATGATTGCTGAATCTGTCTCATGGCTAAAAATCGATATATTCTCCAATTCCGAATGAGAATTATTTTTTTCCCTTACAACTGTGTACATTGTAATGAGTGTGGGTAGAACCTATGTAGTATCTTTTGTTATATCGATATTTGTCTGAAAACATTTATAATTATATAATGCCAATCTTTTAGAATAACAGAAAATATAATTTTAGTGAATTTAGAGACAAAAATGTTACAACGTCATGACTTGGAAAAAAAGACAAAAAAAACACCCACACACAAAAAACACAAATGTTATTCTTTAGTTTGATGTATTCTTAAGATAAATAAATCAAAATATTCATTCATGTCATTGTCTCCTTCCATTGTTTGCATAAAGAATAAAATAAAAACGGGCGAGAAGATCCAAGTTAGTCATTTTCTATCTTTCTGATTTTCCTGGAAAATTGTTTCTCGATTTCAAGTTAAAAAAAGTAACAAAGAAAATTGCCTGATATAACAAAAAATAATAATAAAATAAAATAACGATTTCCACACATTGTATAGCACGGAAAAAAAGATTTTTTTTTTGTTTCGGTTTTATAATGAGAAACAGCCTGGTTAATATTCTATTCAGCAATATAAAAAAAATATGTATAGAAAAAGTCGGAATATTATATGAAAAAGCAGCAGAAAATATATTTTCAATTATTTGAAGTTCAAGTACACATTTGATATTTTCATTTTTTTTTTAAATCCATGATAACCATTTCACAATATTTTTTTAATGACAACAGCAACAATGTTTTTTTTTGTCGTCAATTTGACTTTCTTTATTCCAATTTTTCGTCGTCTGTGTATTATTTCCAGTTGAATATTTCAATACAAAAAAAAGACATTGAACAATATGAATGGAAAACAAAGCAAACATATCAAATTCCCATTCAATGTGTTATACATGAGATATATATAGATAAACAAAGGCATTCTACAATACACATGTGTATTAAGCTTCATCATCTTGTTTCTATGGGTGCATTTAATGCATTAGATTGGTTAGCAACAGCCAACATGTACATACACATCATATAATGATGTAAAGAACCGATCATTGAATCAATCCAATATAGCAAAATACAACAACAAATAATAGTCTATATGATGATGATGATGATGATGATGATGATATAAAAAATATTGAATACATTCTCAAGTTTTCTTTCTTTTTCATGTTTGTTCATTGTTGTTGCTGTTGTTGTTATTATTGGAATATATACATCCATCATTTAACAATAATGTTCACTATCTATTAATGTGGCCAATAATTATTATTAAATAAATAAATAATATTGGTCCATTATTGATGAATCAATATAAATTACATCGTAACATACACAAGCATACACACATACAAGATATCTTCTTAAAAATTCACTGTCCTTCAAATATTCTCATCATCATCTTCATCATATATGGATAGTAACAAATGACAACTGATTATTTGGATTTGAAAACAAATCGAATCGAAAAAAAATTCACTTAGATAGATAAACTATAGAGATAGAGTGAGGAGTAAAGCCTATTTATTTTTCATATATATTCTTTCCGTATTTGTTATAGCTGTACAATTCTGGTTTGATCAAAATCTCAAGTAATGTAGGTGTATGTCTGTTTAATGATTTTTCTACGGTCAATAATATTAGACCTAATAGCAAAATAGCTTATAAAACTACCAAACTAATCGAAATTTAATGTTATTGTAATGTCAAGGATCGGTATTAAAAAAAATATGATCGATACGAAATTCATTGGAATTTTGTCGAGTTTTATTTCGTCATCATTTGTTTTAGAAATTTATTTTGCCAATTCAGGCAAATGATTAGGTAATATGCTTTCGGCAAAAAATGAAAAAAGATAGCAAAAACATACCGATTAATGATTGTACGACTGCATCCAATTTTGTTGTAGTCGTCATATTATTAGCCACAATAGAAACATTGTTTGATGTCATCATATGATATTCATTCTCTTGGCTATTATCATTGCTGAAACCCAATGCTGTGATATCTGTTTTAGATAATTCGGTAAGATGGGCATAGAATACGCCGAAATTATTAACCACACCAAATACAACACCATTGATTGTTGCAGATGCTATTACAACAAGAATCATATGTAGAATTTGCCATATGGAACAATCACCACTCATCGTACATGATGTTGATGATGATGGTGTTGGTGGTGGCGAACAACATGATGTTGATGATGATGAGGAAGACGAATGTGATGATGATGATGATGTTGATGATGAATGGTTGTTACTTGTTGTAGGAATTTTCGAAACATTTGATCCATGTCGATTTCGACCAATATATTGATCTTCAGCATAATTTGTGCCATCTGATAAAAGGATAGCCGCATTATTAACAGCTAAATTGTTCTTAATGATTGATGGTGAATTATCAATATTATTTATATGGCTATTATATGATGGTGGTGGTGATGATGATGATGAAAATGAAAGCTGATTCTGTTCATTTTCACAAATAGATCGATTATCATCATCCGAAACACATGGATTAGATGATGGTCCACCGACAATATTATCATTAATGATTAGATCATCATTATTATTGAATGGTAAATTTATATTCAATTTCATTCTATCATTTTCATTATTTTCCTTTTCATCACCTTTAGATCTGGTCATTATCGAATGTTGATCATCATTATCAGCATTATTATTATTACAGCCACCACCACCGCCGCTATTAACATTTTCATAACAATTAACAATATTATTTGTCATTCTTTATATTTTATTTCTTTTGTTGTTGTTCAATTCTTTTAAGGTAAACTTATATTTTGTGAATAAAAGATGATTTTTTTGAAAAACGAGGATGAGACCTTGAATTAAAAATAAATGAAAAGAGAAAAAAGAAATTGGAGAAATTAAAATAAAAATGAAATAATAATATTGATATGACAGTCTCGATAAAATGAAATGATGATCAAATGTCTAAATATTTCAGACACAAGAGAAACAAACAAACAAAATTGATATGATGATGATCGAAAAAAATGGAATGGGCATGCCATATATTTTAAACCAGAAAATAGTAAGAAAAAGAGAAACCTGAATTTCTTTTTTTCTATTCGTTGTTGTCCATTTACATAGCATTGCAAAAAATCAGGAATTCATTCATTCATTTTTTTTTTGTAAAACACATATAGAGTCCAGATTCAAAAAATCGATGCATTTCAAGTGGTTTTAAAAAAAATTAACAAAAAATAGTGTCAAGGGTAAATCTTTTCTTGAAGACATCGATTTCGGTTTTTGTTTGTGTGTGTATGTAACCAGATCCACAATGATTGAAGAAATGAGATGAGATTTTAAAAAAGCTACATAAACTAATTGGAAAGATTTGGTTGGTCCGATTAAATTTATGATGACATTGAATTGAATTGAATGAACATTATTATATTCAAATATGTTGACCATTTCTATTCGTACATTTTCATTCGCAAACACAATAATAATTCTGCGAGAAACAAAAAAAAAACTGACTTTGTTTTTTTAAATGAAGAAATAATTATGAAGATAACCAGAATCGAATAACCTTGAAAATTAAGCTTTACTTTTGGGTTTCAAATTTAGGAAAAGGTCATTTACAATATAACAAGGAAAAACTAATATCTATTATGAACAAACTATTCACTGATAAAACAATATTTCTTTGTTTTAACAATTTATAACCGCGTTGCTATTCATGTAAGAGTTTTATTACGTTAAATAAATCGATAGAGATCTTCGATCAAATCAAATCAATATCGAAAAATTATGCAAACACACATCATGCATTAATGTGGTGGTGATGGTATACTACTTACTTATTAATGGAAAAAATTTTCTCTATTTTATTTGTTCAATTTTTGTTGCTGGGTTATTATGTTGAATGAGATGATGGCAGTAAATGTATGATGAAAAAAAAACAAAATCAATTAATCAATCAAATCGACCAAAATAAAAATGGATATTTTTTCAGGATACAATTGAAAATAATAATGAGAAACTTGTCGGAATGTTATTTTATTCTTATTTTTTAGGGAAAAACATCTAATGCTCAAAATAATGAAGATGAAGAAAAAAATTATTCGAAATCATAATGTTAACACATTAGAATAATAGACTGTGAAATCACCAAACAAACAGAAAAAACAATCATCTAACATCAAAAATGAATCTAGAGAAAAGGAAAAAAAACTACAAGTAACTAACCAAAGAAAAAACAAGAACTAAAATAACAAAAATTGTTGCAGTTTAAATATCTCTATATATAATAATCCGAACGAAACACAAACACACAGCAATCGACCAATCAACCGATCATCATCATCATTATCATTCATAACGATCAACCATCATGAAGAGAAAAAAATTTATCCAGAAAACGAAGAAAATGTATGTATAGGAACCATCACAACAACAACAACCACCAGATACACACTATGCATAATGCATTCACTAAAAAAACTACATCACACTTAAAAAATATACACACACCGCTACATTCAAAGATTTTGATCATCATCATCATCATCATCAAAAAATCAAATCAAATTATCAATACCATTCCCATTTGTTCATTCAATCATTCATTCAATGTATCGAATGAATGAATAAATAAAGAACAGTGTTTTTATTTCTTCATCTTCATCGTCGTCGTCTTCGAATGATGGTGATGAATCCAAAGATAAAAATTCGCAATCAAAAAAAACCAAAGAAATGTTCTTTCTCCTTCTTCTTCTTTCTATCGAAGATAAAGATAATGATGATGATGAAGATGAAGAAGAAGGTAGTGGAAAGAATGTGTGTGATGTTCGTCTGCATTATAACAGTCATACTAGAAAACATACTGTCATCGTATGAATTTTATTGTACAAAATAAAAATTCATTGAATACAGAATGCAATCAAATACTATACTGACAAATTAATGCGTCTCGTTGGAACATTTTCTTTTAAAAAACAAAATTTTAAGAAAAATTCGACGGTATATTCTGATTAATCAAAAAATAAAAATTCAAAATTAATCAGTTTAATTGATAATTTTCTTTTCAGTTTTTGTTAAAACAAAAAAAAATTATTTAATCGCAAACAAAAATGATAATCAAAAAAATGAAAAAATTGATCATTATCAAATCAAGTGAATAAAAATATCTGTTATATTTCACAACGTTCACGAGTACAAAATAAAAAACAAAAAACATTGATTAATTATAAATTAACCTAATCCATAGAACAGGAAAGAACCGAGCCAAACCAAATTAATCCACAATTTTTAAATCACTAACTTTAAACTTAAAAAAATCTCGATTAAGATTAGCATCATATTTCTTGTGAGTACAAAGTTTCAACTACATTAATATGGCTTCATTAAATGATAGAAATCTATCTTTAAATAAGTGTGTTTGACTTTCGTATATAAATATGGAAACAAACAAACAAACAAATCTTTTTTTTAATTCAAACATTTCGACCATATAAATGAAAATAGAAAAAAAAAACTTGCCCACTTGATGATGATGACAATCTAAAATCAAAGTTTAATGTCCTTCAAATTTTTTTCTTTTGATTGAATCCATTGATGATCTTTATTTTCGGTAAATTTGTAATGTTAAATGCATAATATCATCATCATCATTATTGATGGAAATAAAATTAAAATGAAAAAAAATTCAGATAGGCAAATGAGATGAATGACAAACTGTTTTGACATTTTTTTTTTTTTTGAAATGCTTACCCAGATGATAATAATGATGAATAGAAAACAAACAAACATCAACAACACTATGAAAAGGTGATTGAACTTGTCGGTAAATGAAAAAAAAACGAAAAGAATACCGAAAATATTGAATCTAAAATTAAAATTTTCTTCTTTTTTTATGTCAGTCTGATGATTGACAAACAAATCGAAAAGAATCGATATGAAATATTGCACTCAGATATTATTTCAAAAATAAAACAAATAGCGAATCGAATCGTAGACAAAACAAAACAAAATTATTACTATGAATCCAAGTGTGGACAAAAAAAAATGAAATCAACAAAAAGTGACAATACATTTTGTTTCCATTTATATTGTAAAATTAATAATTGTGTGAATGAAAAATGTCAATATGGAAATTTAGCCAACCAACTAACAAACAATCATAAAAAATATAAAAATCCATGACATTTCTTCTGTATAATTTCATATAATTTTCCCCCTCCCCCTACATACGAAATGAATGAAGTCAACAAAAGCAGAAAGAAAATAAACAAAAATTAATTTGCCGTTAATTAATTTTTGTTTTTGTTTTTGTTTTCGGTTGTCATTCATTTCGACATTTAACAATTGACCGAATCTGAATGAAAATATTTTTCTGTTTTTATAATTTTTTTTGAAAATGTCAGATTAATTTTACCATTAAAAAAAACATTATTACAATCTATCAAGGAATCTTTGGAATTCAATTTAGGTTCAATATCAATTTTATTCAAAAAAATCAATCGATCAGAAAAAAATCAATTAAGAAATTAGATTTTTCATTTTGTAACCCATGATATTCATCGATCATCAACCGAGTAATTTTAAATTCCAATAAAAATATCAAAAAATTATCGGATTCAATTTTGACCAACCAAAAAAAAATTGCCAAACTTTTTTTCAATGTGAGAATGATGAAAAAAATCGATACAAAAATATACCGGAAACATGGATAAACAATTTCCTCATTAAGTTTGTTCTTTCGCACTTTCTCTAATTTATAAAATTGAAAAAATCGTTTCTTTTCGCATATATCCGATTCGATAAACTCTTCCATTTTTTTTCACTGGTTTCAATGAAAAAAAGAAAAAAAAATGCACACCCAAAACTCGAGTCAAAACAACCGACTAAGCAACAATCTATCAGACTATAGAAAAATAAATCAATGTAGAGAAAGAGCGAGGTGGGGGTATAATCATCATAGAATAGATTCGATACAAGACAGACAGACATAACAGAATTTTTTTCATGGCCAGGTCAGTTCTATGGACCTGAAGAACAAACAACAGTGAGACAGACTGACAACAACAAGAGAGAGAGACAATTCAGTTTTTTTTTTGGTAGATTCATGAGGAAGAAAAACATCATTGCGAATGCTCGGTTGCTAACCGTCGACAACAAAAAAAAATGAGAGAAAAAATGAAATGAAATGAAAAAAAAAACTAAAATTTCTTGGTACACATACCAATAGGAAAATTAGAAGAAAAAAAACCAAAATAAAATCCAAATGCAATACAGAGGCACAAGCAGCACATACAACACATGTGCATGATAAAAAAAATTTTCTGGTTCGTTCTGGATATACTCTTAAAACACACTAGTCGATTGCATAGTACCAGAAAAAAATGCCGTTGGATACAACATTTGCACACAAAAACACACACATCTCATCCAATCCGACAGAGAATGATTGAAAGAAACAACAAAAAAAAACAAAAATTGGAGGAAAAAAAATTCATCTAAAAAAATGAATGAACGGATGGATGGAAAAGGAAGATGATGTTGATGAGAAATGAAAAAAAGTTTTTTTTTCGAATGAAAAAATAATAGATTTGCGCAACTCTGATGGATTTTTTTTTGTAATTTTGACATCCTCACACCACCATTTGGTGGTTAGGGGGATCAACGATCAATAATTATTTAAAAATTAAAACAAAAGAAAAAAATTTTCCAAAATCATATACCTCAGGTATTGTTGGGTGAATGATTATATGAATGTTGTATTTAGTTGTGATGGTGATTGGGTAGCGATGATGATGGTGTTGGTTGTTGCTGTTGTTGTTGTCAATAAATGATATTTTTCTATCATTCAATTTTGAATCCGGTTATCAGATAAACATTTTTGACATCGAAATGTTATTAATTTTTTTTCTTCAATTAGAAATTAATTAACAAAACGATTGGTTAATTTGAATGATAATTTGAAGAGAGAAAGAGAGCGTAAAAGATTTCCATATACAAAATATTAAAAAAGAATTTGTTATAATTGAATCGTTGCGTTTTTTTGCTAATCAAAAATTTTCAAAAAAAAAAAATTCTGGTTTTATAAAACAACTAAATTATGTTGCTACAAACGACAATGATGAAGATGATCAATGTCTTCAGGAAAGTGAATGAAAAGATTTCTTTTTACGTGTCTTGAGATGTTTGTCGTCATCATCAACATACAGTATGTATGTGATTTTTTTTTGAAGTGAGAATTGAATGAATGAATTTTTATTTTCACACAAACCTTGAATATTTAACTGTAGTAGTTTTTTTTTCTTAATATTTATCTAATGAATTTGATGATTCTTCATCGTTACCACTGTTGTCGTTGTTGTTTTCGTCGTCTTCGTTGTGGTTGTTGTTATAGAAAATTGTCGAAAATTCAACATTGACATTGATCATTTTCATTTAAAAAAATTGATGTTATTTGAATTTTTCGTTTTCATTAGAAATGATGAAGATGATGACAAAAAGAAAATTAACAATTCATTTATTCAATATGTATGGCACTTGTTTGTTTTTGTGTATGTGTGATTTTGGTAATTATAAATATAATCATCATTTTCATTTTCTCTCTCGAAATTTTTTTTTCAACAAAATCAAGAATCTCAGCCTTCTTCTATTCTATTATCATATATAATCAATATCAATAATTAAAAAAAATAAATAAATTAAATCCAAGGATGTTTTTAGAATTTAAAGAAAAATGAATGAATGGCAAACACAGTTAGTTTGTTTTTTGTCCTAAACAAGGCGCAAGGTGTGTGTGTGTGTATGTCGTATCGTGGATGTTGATGATCAAACTATGATGAGTCTGTACCAAACCAAACGAACAATCCAATCCAATCCAATTCAATCCAACCAACAGTCAGTCAGTCAGGAAAAAATACAGATAGCGTATGGTTGTTTCGTTATTCAAAAATAACTAGATGATGATGATGATGATCACTACAAATTTTTTAAAATAAATTTTAAAGACAAAAAAATAGAAAAATAAAACAGCTAAAGAGGCAAAAGTGAGTTGGTTGTTGAAGAATTTCTTAAGCCGTTGTTTTTGTTTGATTCTAACACACAAACGTTACAAACAAACATACAGAATCCAAGTAGATTTTTATATGTTTCGATGTAGTAGAATAGGAATGAATGAATGAAAAAAATTTCGAAATCACGAAGGAAGAGAGAAAAAAATTATCAAGAATTTTTTCGTTTCTGTTTGCTTGCTTACGCAGACTTCGAATTGGGTAGAAGCAAGCAGAATTTTTTTGCTGGAGTGTTGAATTTTCTTTTCTTCAATATCAGTTATTGGTGTGCACATGTGTTGACTTTAACTATAATATCGATGAGGATGATGATGATAATGAAATAATTCTGATGCGCGCGTTTTTTTCCATTCGTTCTTCCATTCATTTATTATCATCGTGAATATTCGATAAGAGGGAGATATTATTTCCATCCACGCGGACATCATGAACATTCGAAATTTTTTTTTGTTCGAAAATATTCTGCTGCCATCTGGTATTGAGTTGACAGAGTGCATTCTTCGAACCATGTGCATTTTGTTTTTGTTTATCAATTCTTCAGGCGGAATTTTTTATGATGATTTCGTTAAAATATTTCATTAAATCTAGTTTTTTATCAACAGATATTTTGGCCATACAATATCGTCATAGATCGATTCGTAGTCGATTAAAATCAAATGTAAGAAATACTGGACAACAGCGATCGACAATAATTAAATCACCAATCGATGATGAAAAATATCATGATCATGATTTTGATTATGATCATCCTAATCAACGACAGCCACGAAAATCATTAAAACAATTATTCAAAGATGATCATAATAATCGATTGTTAAGTGAGCAAAAAATCGATTCATTTGTTAATGCTCTATACGAAGAGGATCGAAAACATCAAAAGAAATCATCGAATCAAAAACGTAATTTTATTGAAAAACTTCATAAAAAATATGAAAATCATCAACAAGAAACAAATGAAACGAAAAAGAAAAAAGACATTATTCCTCTTCCATATGAAATTAATGAAGAAAATCGATTTGATATTATTAATGACATAGTAATGCCGTTGCATAGGATTTCATATGGTGAACAATTGAAACGAAAATTATACATGAACAAAGATGTACTTCGATCATTCGGATCGAAACTTCGTCATGTAAATCAATCGATTCTTCTAAGTAATAATGATATGCCATGCACATTGGAATCGGTAAGACCATCACCATTAACAGAACGTTATCGAAATAAAGATGAATTCAGTATTTGGCCCGGTATCGATGGTAATCCTAAAACAGTGGGTTTTTTCGTTGGACAACCATCAAAACATGATCGAGTAATTTGCGTCGAGCCTGATCATCTAATAATTACCAAACAAAGTCATATTGATTTAGCAAAAAAATTTCAACAATATCTTCGTGATGTTTCGCCATTAGATGTTTGTCAAAATTATGGTCTCGGTGGACATTGGCGTAGGGTTCATATTCGTTCGAATCGTAATGATGAACATATGTTAACAGCCATATTACATCCACAAAATCTTGATGATAATAGTCTTCAAGAAGAAATGGATAGAATACGAAATTATTTTGCTGATGATCCTCTAATATCATCATTGTATTTTCATGCAACTAGGCATACACGATCTACTCATACAAATGAACAATATCATCATTTAGCCGGTGATCGAACAATATCGGAACAATTATTTGATAAAAAATTTGTCATTTCTCCAAGTTCATTTTTTCAAGTGAATACATTGGGCGCTGAAATACTATATCGTGCCATTATGACCGAAATGAATCTGACAAAAAAGACTACAGTACTGGATCTTTGTTGTGGAACCGGTACATTAGCCATATTGTTAAGTGATCAGGTTAGACGTGTTATAGCTATTGATTCATCAGAATCAGCTATCGCTGATGCTAGAAAAAATGCTGAAATAAATGGTGCACGTAATATTGAATTTATTACCGGTACTGTCGAACAAGAACTTCCACGATTATTGTCCGATTCATATCTGAAAAAACCTGTAGTAGCTATTGCTAATCCATCACGTCGTGCATTACATCCACATGTTATTCGAACATTACGACAAATGTCATTTATCAATCGTTTAGTATATGTTTCCTGTAAACCACAAGGTGATGCTTTGAGAAATTTTGTTCAGCTTTGTTCATCAACAACAACTAATTATGATAATAATGAATCACCATTCATACCTATAAATGCAATACCTGTTGATCTATTTCCACACACTGAACATTGTGAATTAATTGTAACATTCGAACGTTTTTGATATTATTTAATTTTTCATAATAAAGATTTTCATATTTTGATTAAAATTTTATTGAATTGAATTTTTTTTTGTAAATTATGTTCAATTCTTTTTTTTTAATTTTAATTTTTTTTATATTATAAGATTTGTATAACCACTAAGTTTCAGCTTACGACCATATCACGTTGAGAACACCGGTTCTCGTCTGATCACCGAAGTTAAGCAACGTCGAGCCGAGTCAGTACTTGGGAGGGTGACCACTTGGGAACACTCGGTGTCGTAAGCTTCCCTTTTTTTTTCTTTTTTTTTCATTTGATTTAGCAATTATTTTCGATAAAATGACAGGAAATTCATTTTTGTTTCAATGTCGATTCGATTCCGAAAGAGGGCGCAGCAAATGTCTTCAAAAGAAAAAACTATATAGAATTTATTGATAGAATTTGGTTTTTTTAATTTTCAATTTTCAATACTGTATGTAACTCAGGCAAGAATTTTCAAGAATTCAACAATTTTTGTGGATTAAAGAAAAACATTATTGAAGCACGCTCATCTAATCAATATTTTATTTACAAATGACAATTTTCGGTTGTTTCTTGTCGTGTAGAATAATAATAATGATTATATTTTTGAAAAAAAAAACAAAAACAAAATAGCAACTTGAGATTTGATTGATTGATTATGTTGGTTTTCGAAAACGTATGCAGATTTATTCTGCTCTTTTTTTCCACATATTATTCAAGCGAATCTTTTTTCAATTATTTTCTCTAGAGAGATGTTGAACACATATATACATAGGAAGTAAAAACAAAAAATCAATATTTTCATTTTGTTTAATGGAAAACATGGCAACATTTTTACGAGAAAAAAAATTAAATTCCATTTTGTTGTTGTCGTTCAAAATTCCAAAAGAATACGTTTCGGTTAGAGATTTATTATTAGAATGCCAAATGATCAGAATCCAATAATCATAATGACCTTGTTGTTTTTTTCTCAAAAAAAATATTAACCGTGTATGATCTCCAAAATTAACCAAAACAAAATGTGAATTAGAAACAATTCATAATTCTTTGATCAAAGAAAAAATGCCTGTAAAGTTAGATAGGTCTTACATTGAATATTGAATTCGATGGCCATTCAATTATTCATCATCATCATCATTGGAATCATGGATACATTCGAAATGTGAAATTGAGAAAATTACATTGATTGAAACAGCAGTCATACTTATTTTTATTTTTTATTTTATTTTTTTCGTAACGAATAAATTCATTGTTTCCACACACACGTCGAATTCGTTGGATCGGTACATTTGTGTGTGTGTATATTAAATCCGAGGGCTTGAGAAAAAATGATGATTATGATGATGATTGCTTTTTCGTTGCAAGCTTCCAATTTTCATTCTGCTTTTTGTATGTTTAAAATATTTATGACTTGTACATTATTATCAATATAGATGAGATAATTACACATCTCTATTCTCGGTTTAGTTGTGTGGTAGGTGTTCTTGGTTTGAAAAAGAATATAGTTCATATATTTATTTTGTTTTTGTCACATTTGGCTGTGGTTCATTCATTCATTTACTGACTCACTCCTACATTCATATAATATTCTATTCAAATTGATTAATGATAATAGGATTAAAGAGAGAGCAGGGGAGAACAGGGAAGAGAAAGCGAAAATGAAAATGATCGAAAAATAACGTTTTGTGACAACCGTAAAATGAATTTGAAAAAAATGTTCACCTTGTTTTTTGTGGCTTTTTCCATACACACATACACATATGACCATTGTTGTTGTGGTTGTTTATGATCATCGTTTATGGTGATTACCTGCAAAAAAAAAGTATCAAACGAATTTCCATTTTCAAAATATAGATTTGAAATTCAATTTTTTTTGCCTATTATGTCATGATACAATCTAATGTTTTTGTTGTTGAATTCGATGGTATACTATTATAATGTGTGTGTGATTCATTCGGTCTTGGTTGGTTGAAAACTTTTTCTATTTCTTTGGTTCCTGGTTTTTTTTTCGCAACACACATTATACAATTGAAATGTTACAATTTTTATAATGACTATATAAAATTGTCGACTTGCTGAACACTTGTGTGCATATAAATGATGAAATATTTATAAATCTTGATGATGTTGATGGTTTTTTTTGCTGAAAAATTTTGTTACATTTCTTTACTGGTTTGAAATAAGTTCAGAAACTAAAGAATTATACAGGATTACAAAATCTTCATCACACGTTTTTTCAAAATCATTGATTTTGGAAATCTTTGAAATTGAATAAATTGAATCAATGGAATGTTTGAAAAATAACAAAATTCTATACAATCAATAATAATGATGATGTTTTTTTCAAATAAATTGAGTGAGTTTTATTCGAACACTGAAATTCCAGATGTTTCTTTTATTTCCTTAAGTAATTGAATAATGTCAACAAAAAAAACAAACAAAAAAGTTATAGTAATAAGGTAATAATATTGTTTCGTTATCTTAAATAATAATTCTTTCGATTGATAATGATAATCTTGGTGGTTGTTGTTGTTGTTTTTTTGGCAAGCCAAAAAATCATAAACTTATTCACCGATGGTTATTTATCGATTCGATTCGATTCTAAAATCAAATGCAATTTTTTCTTTGGTTCGAAGTTTGTTTGTTTTCATATATCGATCAAATTGAGCGAAAAAAATGAATGAATGACTGAAAACTTTTCTTGATTTTTCTTTCTTTTATTATTATTATTATTCATTTTCTTTAACTTATCATTATTGATGTTGTTCCGATTATATTTGAATTCATCATGTTTCCCGATTCCTGGTTGGTATGAAATAAAATAATAAAAAATCCATTTGGAATTTGAAGATTGGTTGATTGTTGTGTTTTCGTATGTTTTATTTGATAGTTTTTGTCTTTCACAATGAACAATAATGAATCAAGTTTTTTTCTCGTTTGTTTTGTTTAAAAAAATTGGATAAGATTTACTCACAATACATTACCGTTATCAACCGTGTATTCATTATCGATCTTTTTTTTTTGCTGGAATCTTGTTCAGTTTTATTTATTTCTGTTGTTGTTGTTTTGTTTCTCTGGTTCTTGAATTTTGGTTTCAGTTTGGTTGTTGTGTAGTTTTTTCTTGTTCGTTGTTTTACTGTAAAATGATAATTTTTAAGAAAACATTTCTTCTTATTTATTCAATGACGACGACGACGACGACGACTACAATAATGGTAAAATTACAGATTCACTTTGATGGATTTCATTCACTTGAACCTTAAAGGAAGAAGAAAAATTTTTATTTTACTTTTTCCATATTTTTCCTTGTTCTAGATTAAACCACCATACAGAGAATACTAAGGGAAAATGAAATAAAATGAATTTTTTTTGTTTTGTTTCAGTTATTGATCGGAATTCTCTTTTACGTTGGTGATATGGTTCTCATTGGCTATTGTTTGTTTATTTTTTCCCCGTTAAAACTATTGACGTTATAATAGATTCTTCGTTGTGAAAAAAATACCGAAATTTTATTCCACATACTTTATTATTAAAACATTTGAAATCCATATTTTGCGATTCAAGTATGGTAGTAGACGAATCTAAGGCAATTTTTTGTTTCTTTGATTTTTTTTGTTTGTTTTGATTAATGATCCAAATTTTTATCGTAAACTTGTTGTTTTCATTATTATTATTAAACTAAAGTTTTTCAATATGCACATTTCCTTAGATCTGGTTTAGGGTTTTTGTTTTTCTTTCTGATCTTTATATTACAGATGCTTAGCTGGAAAAAAATAAAGGCTTTTTTCATCTTTTTTTTCAATATTTGAAATATATATCGATCGATATTATGATTCATAAAGGTCAGCAATATTCTTAAATATAAAAATTTTTCAATTTTCAAAATAAAAATGAAAGATTTTTTCCAGTGATTACAATAAAACAACGAAAAAACCTAAATCTCGATTGCGACAAACAATTGAAACAAAAAAAGTTAGATTGTTTTTTCAAATTCCAAATTTTACAATTCAAGAATCGTAAAAATTGATAAAGAAATCATATCGATCCATGATGTGTGTGTGAAAAGAGAGAGAGAGAATTGTTTTTTATTTGATTTTTTTTTTGAATTTACTTTTTATCGGACCAAAAAAAAAATTTCTTGTGTTTTATACATTTATCTGTCCGGATTTAATTTTGATTAATAGCTCTTTTTTTGCAGGGTATATTCGGCATTCATTTTGGTCTAGTTCATTTTTTTCGGGGTTTCAATTTCTTTTTTCAATATATAAATAAAAATGGATTTCTCTCTTTTTTTTATAATGCTCATCTCTACGATATCTATAGCATACATGTGTGTTGCATATATCAATTGCATTTGTTGTTGGAATATATTTGAAACACAATGATAGATTCGCACGCGTCCAACTATAAATGGTTGGTTGATGGTGGTGAGTTTTTTTCCGATTTGTTTCTATGCCAAAAACCATTAACACAAAAATGCTTATGCTTGTTATGGCAAAACAAAAAAAACCCCAACAACAATGATTAGCTGATGAACACTAAAATTGTATGATATCAATCACATCATTATATCATCATGCATTTCTCATTCATTCATTCCAAAAAAAATGATCAATTTCATCTAATTATAATCTATTTTCACATGCAATTTGTTTTGTGTTTATTAGTTATATTTTATTTTTCCCGCTTTTTTTCTGGTATATTCAATCTGGCTGATTTTGATGATAAATGTTTTATTTTTTTTACGAACAAAAATTTCATATACCGCTAGCCTGTGGTCGTTGATTGTGTGTTGTATTGATAATAGTGGTGATGGCAATTTAAATTTTATTCCAATATTGTGATAAAATTATAATATGGTCATTATAAAAAAAGCCCATAATAATAAAAATATTCTCCAATTTCGTATCATCAAATTTCAATGAAGAAAAAAAAATAGTACGGGAAATTTGCTTTTTGTTGCTCGATTCGTTTTACGTTAAAACTAAAACGAAACAAAAT